GTCCTATTTGGACAATTATTACTATATTTTCTTTCAAAAGGAATGCTTAAGCCATTCAAAGATATAATTTTATTTCTATAGTCAATTTTAGCATTATTCTTCATCAAAAAGTCATCTCCTAATATACCATCGTATTTTAAAGTGGGGACTCGCTTTTGGTCCACTAAATGAAAGTAATGATTTATTTTATTATTATTATTTATATTTAAATTTATCTTGACAAATCCCATGGTTTTACATGGTTCTTTCGATTCGGTTATACCATGAATATCTAATCTTCTATTAATATTGACTGGCAATCGTGGGTGTAGTTTTTCACCTTTTATAATTGATATACTGGCACCGGTATCAATTAAAAATCTTAATGGTCTATTATAGTCATATGTTTCGTCTATCGGTAACTGGATGTTAATCATATTAATAAATTGAGTAGATAAAATTATTGAATGTTGTTTTGTGCCTGAATATCTTCCAAGCTCATAGGATCGGCACTCTCCATGAGCTCGTTCTCGTTTAAATGATCGATCTCCATTGTATTAAGGTCAATTGTATTTCTGCGAGAGAAGCTACGAGTGTGATAAGGCTCGAGCGTTGGTCGCTGTTGTTGATGACGATTAAAGTTTTGATTTACAGTTTGATTGTTTCTTTGCTCAACGCTAGGTCTCCTTAATGGATAAGGGTTTCTTTGAAAATTGTTATTGGTTTGATTTTGATCATTATAGTTTGTTTGATTGTTATATAGAAATCGGACGGGGTAATGTATATCGCGATGGTCATATTGTTTATTACAGCATCTACAATAAGATGTTTCGTTCATGTGGAACAAAGGTCTATTATTTGGATTCCGATTAAAATTATTACGATTTGAAAGATTATTATTAACATTAAATGTACGCGGATTTGTGTTTCTACTGGTATTACTTCTACAAAATGCTGCTGTATGTCCAGCTCGATTACACTTTGTGCAGTACCTACGCGGTTGCTCAAATGATTTGCTAGACTCGAGTAATGAAAATTTTTCTTCCTCTAGGGCTATGTTAAACGCGTCATTTAGATCCTTAGGTTCACGAGACCTGAGGACTTGTGAAATTTTCGGGTTTACCCCTAATAGAAATGTATGTAGTGCTAACTGATTTGTACTATCTATCTGTCCTGGCAGTAAATTTCTATCAGTACTTGTCTGTTTAATCGTACTAAGTAGTCTCTTAAGACATCCTTCTAAGCGAGTGATGTATTGAGCTACTGTTTCGTTGTGAAACTGTTTGCAATTTTGAAGTTCTATTAACAAATGCGTTTGGTGTTTTCGGTTCCCGAATCTGGGCTTCAAAAAGTCTTTAAGATCTTTCCATGAGTCGAAAACGGTATTGGAACATGTAGATTGAGCTTTATCAGTTAATTTATTTTGCACGTATGCGAACAATACTCTTTCTTGGCTATCGGATGCTAATTGGAAAGCTCGGTCACACTTTTCTAACCAAGAGCTTAGGTTGTCACGATCTCCATCATAAGGTTCTATAAACCTCAGAAGTGTATCAATTGACATTATGGAAATTGGGTTGGAATTCCCAGCAACGTCTTGAGATACGTTGGGTATAGAAGTTGAATGTGCCATGTTTTACCAAAAAAAAAAATTTTAAAAGAACTAAATTGATTTAAAATGAAGTTAAAAAAATATGCTTTAAAAGAACAATTGCGACCTTTACTTTTTACGACCTTTTACAATATTAATTTAAAATAAAATTATATATGAATTATAATATAGTTTTTAAATTTTTAAAAAAAAAATGACAATTAATTACTTAAATTCTACTTACAATATTAAAATCTTCATAGTTCACTCGAAGTGACGTTTTTTGTTTCTTGAAGATGTTCTATTGTTGAAGAACTCTTGATTGAGTTTTTGCTTCGGTATGATTGCTGGTGTCGCTGACGTCTATTGCTCCGTTGAATACCTTTCTCTGGGTCTGCCTTGTCGTCGTCGTCGCCGTCGAGGGCCAAAACCGTCACGATCAAGTGCTGACGATTACCACTGACGTGGTATGCCGTTGGGTATCTTTATATGTGTGGATCCGTTTTCAAGCCAAGGTCTGGAGACCGCCTTGCTTTATTCTTCTCGAATTGTCAGGTATTTTAGAGAAGAGCAAGTGCCACGGATCCCACTTCTGACACCAAATTTTTGTTATGTACCCTTTGGCTGGAGTCTTCGTGAAGTAAAACCAGTTGATGCTTCTAAGTATTTATTTAATTACTGCTATGCCGATCTGGCTTACACTCAGACTAATTTAGAGAGGAGGTGTTATATGAAGACGAATAGCGTCGCGAACCGGTAGATGAGTCTTGATGAGTGCCTGAGGCAAGTATCTGATGTAGACTGTCTTGGTCCCGAGGGATTTGGGGCTTTTATAGGAAGGTGTAAACAAGTGCTCACGTGTTGCCGAATTGCGAATGTTCCGCGAAAGAATAAGGTGATATCGAGTCACCGTAGATTATCTGAAGTTCTAATGGTTTCTAATGAGAAGCGATAATGAGCTTTAATGATCGGTGTCAAGTAATCAACTATTTTATGGTGGCAATTTGGGTGGCCATGTCATACGCAATATGATGGAGGACAAAGGGTCTCATATTTAATTTAGAGGAAAACATCATGTGATCGTAAGGATCGTATGATGGTGGCGTGATGCGCAAATGATGATGCAATAAGTGGAGGAATATGCAAGTAATAGTTATGGTATATAACACATATAAACCAGCCGATACAATATATAATTAGTTTTATCATCCCTTAAAAACTTTCACTTCCACGTCAAAATAAAGGAAATAATTCTAAAAGTGTAGCAACAGATAAATATCATTGTAACTCCTAGCCTAGCAATTTTTCTAACTTCTGTGTCAAGAAATAATTGAGTTTTATACAAACTATCATCTCATGTTTCAACCACTCTAAAAAGAAGATGATTTCTAATAAAAATGTACTAGTTAAATTTTATCGAAAATCATAACCTCAATATATAATTATATATTGAGGTTATGATTTTCGATAATAATATACGTAACCGACATGTCCAACCACAGGGCTCAGTACCCTTAGCACGAACCAATATAGAATACGATTAGTTTGCGAGTGCGAAATGTCATTGTCAAAGGACATTGTTCTGCGTCTATACATTGTTGGCCTAAGAACCAACAACCATGAAATATTATTTTCTAGGTTCGTAATTGCAAGTAAATGACTGTAAAAGATTATTGACGGACACTTCTGAGAACTTAAATTAACAAGAAAACCAAATATTTTTTGAGGTTATGTTTAATATTAAATGAAACATAGGTCAACCTATGAACTTAGTATGAATTGAATTAATATTACATTTAATTCATTTTTATTCGGTGCGATTTTAAAGAATAACTATTAGGAAAAACTTGGTTACGTAGGAATCATGAATAAAATAAAAACTGTTGTTTTGCTTCTTATTTTTTGACTATTTTTCACATAATTGTATCATATTGTATTTATTTGTATATCACATGTATATTGTGTAAATGTGCAGCGTGAATGTGTATCAGGTGCTCTTGAATAATTTGGCAGTATGATCCTCTCAGGATGTTGTGGTACAGGTTCTCTAGCACTTGGTAATAAGGTCTCTGCTATTTGGTAACATCGATGGCATATTAGATAGCCGAAATAGTTAAATTAAGGGAAAAACAATCGCAAATAAAGACACACAACAGGTAATCCGAAACGAGAATACACGAATGCCACAGATTACTACGAATGCAAACTGCCTGCACCACAACCACAGAGTATTGAGTTCTATGCCGGTCATTCACTTGACAACAGCCTCTCCTTATAATGCTTAATAAGGAACAAAAAGGACAGACTGATGTCAAGTTTTCAAAAAGCAAACATAAATAGCCAAGTGAAGTGCCGGCATTAGGAAGAAAGTGTTTTGTTTGCAGCGCTGTCATAGATTATACACATAAAATGGTAGTCTCAGATTATTTTTTAACTTTTTATTATAGCTTACTTAACTGGAAGTGTCCGTCACAATGTAAATACTGATAATTATCGCAAAAAATATAGTAATAATTATCATAAATGCCTAATTGGTGTTGGTTCTTAGGCCAAATTTAACATTGTCCTTTTGTATAGAAACTTGAACAGCAGCGCCACAACAGACGTAACCAGATCTAAAAATCAGTTCACATTTGACGTATAAAATAGATCCAATTCAACTATTTGAATTTGATATTGGTTCGTGCTAAGGTTACGTCATTTCTGTCACGCACACATTTATGTTACGTATACGGGGCATTTTCAAGCAATTTCAAGCAGAATTTATTCGCTATCTACTATCGAAAGTGATGTCAACATGATGATGATATAGGTAAGTTTAGGTAATTACTATCGAGGGTGGCGAGAGCCGTCCTTTTGACCACTTTCTATTTTGTGATGATAGAACTGAATGAAGACTCTAGAAACAATTTCCAAAATGCCACGGCCATCAGTCGATGTACTCGCGAATCCAAGCACCTAAATACGAAGGCGAGTATTGCCGTCTACTCGAATATGAGCTTAATCAGTTCGGAGTAAGGTTGAAAGTGACATGACAGCTGCCAACTTGTTTACGACTCACGCTTCTTACCTGCGTTCTATGTACTCGCCGGTACTAGGAAACTCTCAATTGAACTAGATTTATCTAAAGGGCATCGATTAGAGTATATAAGGGCGCTGGGCTCCGCGTAGTAACAGTTTACTTTCTAGGCGATAAAAGTCGAGTTTCAAGAGCGATTTCGGAACGATTACAAAGTACAAGTGTTTGTGCGATTGTATAACAACTGCTATAGTAAATAGTGTATCATTGTCTGTTTACTATAGAGTTGTGTGAACAGTTTGCTGAATAAAGAACTGTCAAGCGTGAACCAGCATTACAATTTCGAACTCCATCCCGACACATAACAGTATATACAGTACTATATAGACTTAAAATACAAATCTGACTCACGCTGCTATTGGCTCGTATCTTCTTAAGGCATCCCTCGAGCCAAGTGCGTATAGTTTGTTTGGCTACCTCTTCCTCTATCAAGAACTCAAACTCTTCTCGGGCGAGCAATTCTTCCATTTGGAGCGACTTACGTATGTCTACGGTACGATAGGACAGCATGCTGAAATTGTAAGGAACGATGCAGTAAATCTCTCATATTGCGTAGAAGTTGGGAAACGTTAATGAGGGTGTTTAGGAAAATTTACGTCACTAGTAAGCGCCACTGTGACAAGAGGTCTATTGTATGAAGATTTAGGCGCAAATTAATCGAACGAGCATTTAAATTGATTCATAGACTATGACGATATACTTAATATTTTATTAAAAATATTCATTTGACATGTTCTATTGAACGCCACAATTCTTTCGGCAGTAGACCAGATAGCATAATTACAACATATTTTCTGTAAATAGTTTTTTTTCGCATTATTATTCCAACTGATTGTTAACATTTTTCTTAACTTTATTTGGTGAGCTTCACCTAATGCTGGTAATTCACTTGGCTTCCGTGTTTGCTATTCGTAATCTTGACAATAGTCTGTCCTTATCATACTTTATCAAGATGAACAAGACGACAGACAGTTGTTAAGTTTACCAATAGCAAACAGAAAAACTCAAAGGCGAGTGCAGTTCGTCAAGTCTTTCTTATTTTTGTTGGAGTAGAAATTCAGTATTTGTGATCTGTAAAGGATTTCGATGCTACTTGGTCCATGGTGTAAACTTGAACAGTAAAAAGTAACCAGCGTTGTCAACATTTAAAAATTTGGATGTAGGGACTTGTTTCTTTGTTTGGAACAAATGTACAGTTTTTTGACAGCTATAGATCATCTGTCAAATATTGTGGTTAATTATAACCCCAATTTACAACTTTACGATATGTTTTCTCTAAACTTCTACAGTAGTAGTAGAAAAATATTACATTACATTTAATGTGACGATATTTTTCGTACATAATTTATATCTATTTCCCTATTGCTTGGTACAAACTTCAGTAAAGCGCAATCATGGCCTAACTTTCTATGAAATATTGGCATTCTCATTTAGTTTTAAGTTATGAGAATTATTCCAGAATCGCCACCAGAGTGATAATTGTAATTGTAAAGATTTGTTCTTCAATTCTATATTATAGACGTGTATGTGTCACGTGGTGGTGTTGGACGTGTGCATATAATCATCCAAAAGTGTATACTCTGTACTCGTGCACTTACTTTATAACATCATGAAACGTAACATCTTCTCCATTGTGCAATCGTTCCAGTTCGTAGCACATGTACTTAAATAACAGTCGCTCTTTGTGTGTGTCACATTCCAGCCGTCCTTTCAGTAGGCGAAGTATAAATTTAACCTAAAACAGAAAGCAAATAACATGTAAATTCATTATTCCTTCATGATTATCAATGCATAAGAATGATATTATTAACTTGCCTTTCTTACGGGTATCACTCCTTTCTGGTGGACGTCCACAATATTCCAAGTGTTCTGGAAATTCCTTATGTCTGCATAAGAGAGCAAAGCGTCTTCTTCGTTTGAATAGAATAATGAAAAGTTCTCCATTATAATAGCTGCAACAATGAGAGTTACTCAGTGACTTCGACGTAACCAATGACGACTAAAATTCAACACTACTAAATATTAACTACATACCTGAGGCCTCGTCTGCGTGGTCTAATTGATTTAACATACAATTTTTCACCTCCATTTAATCTGTATAAAGGATGATTTCTGGGATAAAAACTGTCTTGACATCCGGTCCCGGGACTATCCCTAATTTCATGTAAATCAGTTCGGCGGATTAAACGTGAAGAGGCAACAGGCACACGGTAGGACAGACATTTTCGCATTTGTAATATACTAGCCGCCTGTGACTCTGGCCGCGTTAACTTTGGTTTTTTGATAATCCCACAGAAACTTAACCTTTTTTTCGGGATAAAAAGTATCCCATATCTGACCTACGAGCAGGTTGAGCACGATGCACATGATGATGACGTAGAAGGTGCAGAGGTACGCGAGTGACGCGGTGAAGTTGCCACAGTCTGCCTCATACTGACCCACAAGCAGGTTGAGCACGATGTACATGATGATGACGTAGAAGGTGCAGAATAGTACACAAGCGACGCGGTGAGGTTGCCGCAGTCTGCCTTATACTGACCCACGAGCAGGTTGAGCACGATGTACATGATGACGTAAAAGGTGCAGAGGTACGCGAGCGACGCGATGAAGTTACCGCAGTTTGCCTCATACTTACCCACGAGCAGGTTGAGCAGGATAACGTGATGAAGACGTAGAAGGTGCAGAAGTACGCGAGCGACGTGATGATGACGTAGAAGGTGCAGAAGTACGCGAGCGACGCGGTGAAGTTGCCGCAGTCTGCCTCATACTGACCCACGAGCAGGTTGAGCACGATGTACGTGATGATGACGTAGAAGGTGCAGAAGTACGCGAGCGACGCGGTGAAGTTGCCGCAGTCTGTCTCCCAGTAGTTATCAGCGGGGGTGCAGTAAGGCGGTGCAACCATACAATCGTGCATAATCTTATTCCAATCTTCGCCGGTCACTATGCGGAACAACATCGCGACGCTGTGTATCGGCGAGTTGAAGTTTGCTCGTCTAAAATTAATAACAGCATATAACAAGGTCTTTTTCGGCCAATAGTACTTTTAAGATGTATAAATAAACCAGCTTTTATTATGTTTTTCAGAGTAAATACTTAAGCTGTGCCAAATTTGATTTCTATCGCTCAGTAATCAAATCTCAGAACAAGAACTAAAGTACAAAAAGGGTTTAAACTCATAAGGCCGACTTAGTTATCTTACTTTTAAATATAGACCAGAAAAGAGACAAATATGTGTTGCTATGAACAGCGTGCGTAACACTATATACACGTCAAATTGGTTATCTTTGGAATTAGTACGTCTTGTGGACTTGGTAACCTTTACGATACGGAATCCAAAAGTGATCTAATGTCAAATGCAAATTGCCACGTATAGTATAAGCGGAAGTGTACTCTTAGACTTCATTGCATTACTCTTATGCTTTAGTTCTTGTTCTGAGATTCATATTATAATAATGACTACTCAGTTGATATGGTGCTCCATTAAATTGTATTGTCAAGAAATCCCTACATAATAACGTATGAAACAGCAAATATAAATAATTCACTAACATTATAGTATTCATCAATATACCTTCCAATTCCTTCTCCGTATTTGACGTTGCCGAAAACGATGGTCCCAGCGAGGGCGTAGAAGAACACCAGCAAAAACATGCCGAAGATGATGAAGAAGCTCTTGCAGACGCTCACGCCCACAGTCAGCATCAGCATCTTCAGCGTAGTGTGCTTGCCCGTTATCGTAAAGAAACGCAAAATCACCACCATGAATCCGACGAAGTAAGATAAGTCGTTCTGAAAATGAATAGGACTTGAAGAAATGACATTTATTATATGTTACACTGAATACATGTGATATAACTATTGAAGAGCTCGATGACTGAGTATAAAGTGCATTAAGATCCATATGCACACGGCGACGGCGACGAGCAGGTCGTATCGGTTGTAGCGGCTCTACCAGTAGCCGCGCGGAATGAACACGATCGTCTTCAGTATTAAGATAGATCTATATAATGTTACGATTGCCAATGTAAACAAGTTTAAACGAACCTTCAAAATAAAGTGCATAAAGATCCATAAGCGCCCAGCGACGGTGACGAGCACGTCGTACCGGTTGCGGTGGCTCTGCCAATAGCCGCACGGAGTGAATGCGATCGTCTTCCGTATTAAGATTGATCTATATAATGTTACGATTGCCAATGTAAACAAGTTTAAACGAACCTTCAGTATAAAGTGCATAAAGATCCATATGCACCCGGCGACGGTGACGAGCAGGTCGTACCGGTTGCGGCGGCTCTGCCAGTAGCCGCGCGGTGTGAACGCGATTGTTTTCAGTAACACTTCTACCACGAATACTAGCGTCAGTAGCGCTGATGTTAGCGCTAGTTGTTCAGTGTACTGCGAGTAGCGCGACCACTAAACAAATCAAACTTTAAATTATCATCTACGTCCATAGCCATACCGAATGGACGAGCGTTCCCTAAACCTATTGTACTTATAATTATTATTATTTTAAAGCATGTAACTGCTTGATGTTTAAATCTAAAGAAAATATAACTAGAAAAAATTCCACGCGGACCAGGCAGCAGACGGGACTCGAACCCGCACCCTTCGCAATCCGGGCGAATGCACTGACCAATAATGCTACCGCAGCCCTCACGGACCGCGTAGAAATTTCTCTAGCCATTCTTAAGCTGCAAGGCAGTGCCATCTCTTCGCATTATAGGTAACCCACAATGTCAAATGAATACTTTTACAAGTATTAAACATTTGAAAGAAGAAATAGCAATTATAGTTATAAATATATTTTTTAAAGCATGTAACTGCTTGATGTTTAAATCTAAAGAAAATATAACTAGAAAAAATTCTACGCGGACCAGGCAGCAGACGGGACTCGAACCCGCACCCTTCGCAATACGGGCGAATGCACTGACCAATTATGCTAATATTATATTATATTATTGTCCGTGAAGGCTGCGGTAGCCAATAAATTAAACTGATTCTTATTCGTAGCGTTTCTAGCTACGGATAACTAAAGTTGTGGTACCTATATTGCAGAGAGCTGTCATGCAATGCATCCCAAGAGTATATCAATACTTAGCGAATTTGAAACACTCATTATCACGATCATTATTATCGAAATTTAAAATGACATTCGCTGTATCATATTTGTAAGAGGTATATTCATGAACAAACATACAGCATAACGCCTTTACTTACCGTAACTGCCAATAATCCACTGTTAATTAGCACCACTATAGCAATGACTCTTTTAAAGGTCAAGTTTTGTGTGACGTCATAAGCGAATGCGCGTACTTTCCTTTTGTTAGGCCGCGGGGGCAAATGGAGGGGCTGTGCGATTTTCAATCTCTTCTTTAAGTCACACCTGAAATAAATAACGCATAGTAGTAAAAACTTTTACCATATTATTAATATGCCTTCATGGTAAGACTAGTGGGTACCCGCAACTTCATCTGAGTGGAAAAATTGGTTTCCCATACCATAAGTTGGTACCCCCACTTCCTATCCTCTTAAAGGGTGATTTCTGGGATAGAAAGTATCCTATGTCCTTTTCCGGAAACCAAAAATATATAATAATATATAATATGTAAAAAAATCATCTTAATCGGTTCAGCGCTTTAAGAGTGAAGACGTAATAGACAGACATAATTTCGCATTCATATTATTACTATAGTTATAATATTACCATCGTCGTTGGTCGACCGTCAATAATGCGGTGCCTTTGTTTTCTGAGTAATTAGCAATCACCACACCGACGAACAGAGTCAATCCGATCATACATCCCAGAAAAATGTAGACGTGTATATACAAAGCGTGTACCTGAAATTATTAGGGTAAAATTAAACCTTAGTACATTAGCCAAAACCAAATATATATTAATAAAAACAATATACGGAATAAACTAACCGGACCCAATGCCTTGATAAGAACATCACGCACATCCAACCATCCTTTAAAAGAGAGAACTTCGAATAACGTCAGAAGTGCGTCTCCAATGTTGTCAAAGTTGAATCTTTTCGGATTGGCCCTAAAACATTGTATGATTTGTCAACCAAGAATAATTCGGAATAGTAATTTATTCTTATAATCAGAATTTTTAGGATCAAAACTTTGAATAATCTTTTTGATATTATAAAATTCAAATATATGTTTTGTAACCAAGCACTGCACATTATTTACATAAAATTACATTTTTGAGAATTCATTCACTATCAAGTGGCACATTTTGCAGTCTAAAATTAAGAAATAGACATTGGTGTCGATTCTAGCATGATTCTCTAAACTTAACAAAATTTAACATAAGTTTCTCCATATCATTCTGTATAGAGAATGACATGGATAGACTGTTGTCAAAGGAAATCGGCCAAATCATATTTGGATCAAAGTTGAACGTCTAGAATAGACATCTTTACTAATATTATCAATTGAATATAAACAGTTTCTTCAAGTTGTGATAATAATTGATACATAAAAAATATCAAAAAACTACCGTTCTCATCCATTTTATACCTAGTGTTGAAATTTATTTTGTATATTATTCCACCTGTATACGTCAACTAAATCGATATAATCATTTTTTTTTTATTTTAGTCACTTAACGACCCTGACCCCCTAGACAGATATTTTTCAACAAAAGCTATCGCAATCATTAAACAGAAAATGTACTTATGGAATTTTTATCATAAGTTCAGGCTTGGTTTTCGAGTGTTACTTACAAAAAATAATGCATTTTCCCGGCTTCGCACGGGTGGGCATTTACTTTTAAATCATTTTTGGGATGCCCCTCTTTACGACTACTGTCCAGCAATGGCCTGCGAGCGTCACCCGAAACGATAGTTGGTAAGTCTTCAAATACTTACCCAATAATTAGCTACAGTTCTCTCTTTCCGAAACACAGTAATGCATTAGGATTACTATTTTACGGGAAAATGCGCACTGCGGTAGTAGTACCCACCTACCCAGATCTTTGTAGAGCGACCATGCTGAATGGTAGAGTAGCTCGGTAGTAATATCAAATGGCTTCTACTACAGTTTGAATTTATCTGTGATATTGGTATAATATCACATCGGCTGCATCTACAGTCGTTAGCACCCACCAATCCGCAAAGGGCCCGCGTGGTGGGTCATGGCCCAATCTCCCTATTCCATCCATAGGGAAGGCCTGTGCCCCAGCAGTGGGGACATTAATAGGCTGATGATGATGATGATGATGATTGGTATAATTGTTATAATTTTGTGCAAAAAATCAATTTCTGTAATGAAAAAATGTAATACAGATTACGTAATAAAAATGACATAATAACATAACCAATAAATTTTCAGAGCAAAATATCTTTTTCCTCGGCTTTCGTTCGTCGTGATTCTTACATATGAGGAGCTGGCGAACAAAACGGTATAATTACGCATCTGGTCATACTACTTTTTTTTTACAGTCCGGAGGTTTCGGGCCCGTTGAATTTGAATCTCAAATAATTTTCAATCAAAACCGACCTCTAAATTGCTAATCGACCTAATTTCGGGCGCTGTCAAAAATCGTTAAAACACCATCCCTGGGCAAGTTAAATACATTAAGTTACTCTATTTTGATGTTTCGTTTGCGGGTTTACGTGTTTTTTTTTATAATTTTTTTGTTCTCGACCTCGTTAAAAACCACAAAAAAAAGGGTTTGTGGCTTATGTTTTCATGGTGATAATTTCGATAATAATTGTAATGTTTTAATTTATAATTATTATTATTGAATAAATTATTCATGATTAATATTTCGAATACACAGAATCTCTTGAGTTAGTATTTTTGAAGAAATAAAAAAAAACAAAAGCCGCGCAGTGTAACGGTCGTTCTAAATTCAAATATTCGAACGTTTTTTTTTTCATATTATATTCTTGTATGCGAACTAGTGGTTAGTTTTTGTTTATTCTAAAGCAAACATAATGTACATTTTGATAAAAGAAACTTTATCAAAATTGTAAATACTTTTCGTTTTAGCGACATAAAACTGAGATGACTGATTTGTAGGCGATTTTTAAATGCCTTGTTGTAAGTTCTTGAAACTATAAAATGAACAATGACTACTCATTCCAGTCTTGTTAGTAATGTAATGTTAACAATCCGAGCTAAAGTAATAACATAAATCACAGGCACTCAGGCCGCCCGTCTGCGCTTACACCTGTTTTTTCTAACGCGTGTTTGTTTACACATCTGGCGCGTGGATTGTGAGAACTATAGCGTAAAATTAAATTGTAGGAATATGGTGTTTTATGATTTTATTTGGTAGGTTATAATAGAATGTGCAAATAAGCAAAAAACCTGGATATGAAATTTTAAAAATTTGAAAATATACCATTACCATTTTACCCATCTAAACGCCTTTTTTATCTTTCCCGAGTTTACCGTAACGTAATTAAAATAGATTATAGACATGACGCATTGTGTAGACACTGTTTTATAGTAAATTTTATGGAGAATCCAAATATATATAGTTTGTGTAGGGTATTCTTACGAAATAAAAGAGAAATCGGCAAAACAATGCAATCGTTCCCACCCAGCGGGGGTTGACGGATGACGTTAGCAACTTGACGTAAGAACGGCGCATGACCACTAGCATGTGAGAGGCTAAGCAGTGTTATAATTACTAAATATATAAATTAAAAACCATGTCAAAAGCTTACTGGAGGTGTTGATGGCATTCAGTTTTATACAGCTCCTGTTAATTTTAATTTGATGTAATTTTACCGTTTTGTTCACCAGTTCCTCATATATAAGCATAATAAATTACGCAGAGTCTAATGATATGTCATTTGTTGAAAGACGCAATAATTTAATTTGAAATAAAACGATGTATGGGCGTTGACGATGACCTTAAAGTTAAGGTTTAGAGAATCATGCCAGAATCGACACCATTGTCAAGTCTTCAATTATAAAAGAAAAGGCAAATCTTGAAATTCCATACCAGACCCTAGGAACCAGCATGGACGGGAATGTCTCGTTGGGTCCAGGACGTAGTTTCATCTTTGTAACGAATACTCGTCGCATGAAAACGCCCACGCAATCTTCACGGCGCGTAATCGTTGGATCGTTACAACGTGCCAGTCTACAAATTCGGTACTTAGTGTTTTTACAGTAACTAGTAACTCTTAATCAAACAATAATACCAACAAAAGCATAAAGGTTAAGCATTTCTTAGTGAAAATATTAGACACAAACCTTCCGCCGTATAACTGGACGCCATAACTTGCGAATACGAACATCAGGAGAATCAGAAGAGTTGATACCTAGAGTAGCCAAATAAAGATGTCATTAGTAATTTGTATGAATGTAATATATAAATAATTAAAGAATATTTAAGTACCTATTTAGAGTTATTATAAGGATGATAAGCTGGAAGTTAATACGATTCTAGATAAAAAGAAAGCAATGTTGCAGCAAATACTTATACGAACTATTGGTCACACGATCGTTTCGACTCTCAAATACTTATCTGCATTTTACCATAGACATTTAGAATGGATTGCGCGACTCTTGCACGAAATTGATAACTCTCTAGAAAGAGATAAAAAACAAACAATACACACTCACTATGAGCCTCCCTATCAATTCGACTCTGTCACTCTCTGCTAATTTTACTTCACAGTTGGTTAGGGGAGCACGCAGTCGAGTCTCTAACTATGGTTAAAAGCGCTTCTACTCACGAGTAGAATCTCCTTGAAGCCGCGGCACAGCTCATAGACGACCTTGCGCATGTGCGGCACCAGCGTAAATATGCGCAGCGGGCGAACGCAGCGCAGGATCATCAGCATCTGCGCGGCCGATCCCGGCGGCACGCGCACAGGCATCCAGCACAGGAACGTCAGCGACACCTCGCGGCACACACGATAGCACAATGTTTTAAATCAACACACGACTACAATGTGCGCAGCGGCCCAACGCAGCGCAGGATCATCAGCATCTGCGCGGCCGATCCCGGCGGCACGCGCACCGGTATCCAGCACAGGAACATCAGCGACTCCTTGCGGCACACACGATAGCAACATGTAGTAAATTAACACACGACTACAATATGCACAACGGGCGCACGCAGCGTAGGATCATCAGTATCTACGCAATCGAGCCCGGTGGCACGCGTACCGGTATCCAGCACAGGAACATCAGCGACTCCTTGCGGCACACAGGATAGCAACATGTTGTAAATTAACACACTACTACAATATGCACAACGGGCGCACGCAGCGCAGGATCATCAGCATCTACGCAGTCGAGCCAGGCGGCACGCGCACCGGCATCCAGCACAGGAACATCAGCGACTCCTTGCGGCACACACGATAGCAACATGTTGTAAATTAACACACTACTACAATATGCACAACAGGCGCACGCAGCGCAGGATCATCAGCATCTACGCAGTCGAGCCAGGCGGCACGCGCACCGGCATCCAGCACAGGAACGTCAGCGACACCTCGCTGCACACACCACGTTGCAAATCAACACACGACTACAATATGCAGAAGGAGCGCACATCAGCAGCCTATTAGTGTCCTTACTGCTGGGGCACAGGCCTTCCCTAAGGATGGAATAAGGAGATTGGGCCATGATTGCAGTGCGGATTGCCAGGTGCTAACTACTGCAGATGCAGCCGGGACCAACGGCTTAACGTGCCTTCCGAGGCACGGAGGAACTCGAGATAGAAGATTTTTGGTCACCCATCCAATGACCGACCATTGCGAAAGTTGCTTAACTTCAACGATCGCAGCCGAACGGGCTAGCCACTTGCGCCATCGAGCTCCTCCTATTATATGATCAGCCCTAGTAAGATAAAACATTACATTCAAAAGATATCTATTTCAAAATTACATCGACGCAACTTAAAATATGAAAGAGCTTAGATTAAATTAAAAAGATAAGATACGGCTATGACTTCAGTCTAAAAAGTGAGCCGCTTCTAATCTCGCAGACACTTATATTATAGGTCGCTCGTTGTGGGGGTTGCTTCCCACACTTGATGCTTGTTAAGGGTAAGGTTACTCCAAGGAGTGCTAAATAAAACCGAACCGTTTGAATGTTGTAAAAACACTAATTTATTTCTGTGACTAATAGGCTTGTGTCAACTAACAATAAATCGAATGGGTTACAGTTTCTAAATATGAATTATGATATACAGATAACAAAAAATAAAGCTATTTATCATAATAATTAAAGATTATTATTATTTTTAGAAAATAAATTCGAATAAAATAGGCATTTGATCACGTGACGGCAAACACCAATCAGAAAGACTGACGTCACCACGTGCAAAACATTACTTGTGGTTGCCGTTTCCATACATTTCATTGATATCTCATTCATGTTATTGTTACTTTGATACAATTATCAGTTTGTTTTCAGATAAGTGTTGCAAGGAAGCCTAATAAATCCATGGAATTGGGATTTACCGAAGCAAATATTAATATTTTAACCAAAATAAAAAATTAATCACATAACTACTCGACATAATTAAGCATATCATTTGGCAACTAGAACAAGAATAAGAAGTGTTTATTATTATGAATAAATATACTGAACTCTCAAATAGACTCTAAATCATACCATAAAATTAAATCAGCTTACTTAACCTCAACCTATTGTCATTGTTTTATCAATATAATGCACTCAGACCAACAAAAAAAGAGCAATATAATTTATCCGGCTTGTATAACATTTTGATTTCATTGATTATGTTATGCAAAATACTTACATCAAAATGTTCATCACAAAATTATTCTTGTATTTGTTGATAAACAATGAATAGGTACCATCCCTCCTTGCAAGTTCTAACCATTTTTTCCGCATTTGTGGCATATAAATAATTTGTCTGGCGTTTTACGCTTCTCCTTTTATACAAGGACACTATACAGTACTTGTAATACGATGGATTCATTTTTAACTAAATAATTTTAATAGTCGGCGTACAGCGTATTGTTTGCTTTGCACGGCGTGACGTCATTCTAGACGCCATGACAGTCTAGAGCGTTTTCGAGGGAAATTTGAATAAGTTTTTTAAAATACAAAATACATATTGATAATGTACTTTTTTATTTAAAATAATATTTTTTTGGGGTTAAATAAAACATCAAGGTATATTATTAACCACTTTTTAAAATATAGGCAACTAGCCTATTGTGCAAGAAAAAATACAATTTCATGAGTATGCTTAAAAGTAATCTGGGTCAATTTGAAATCATTTTTATGTACAATCAAGTAGGTATGTACAGCTCGTACACTCGTGTTTTACCACTTCGCGAATACATCTAGCCTTCACCCCAGCCGTAGCCAAAAGCCGCGTCTGTCTGTGAAACACTTAGTGACACAACGCACGTTTGAAGTAAGTAGGTGGAAGTATGTAGATAAACAAAAATAATCACTTAGAACATAAAACGGATAACAAAACATAATGAAATGTTTTCAACCGTAAACAACCGCTGTTTATGGCTGATCGGCGAAAAAAGCGGTTATCGGCTCGTTGAAAACGATAACAACCGCTTTTACATCGATCACAAGTGATTCTAACTAACCCAAAAAAGCGTCCTCTCATCCTAATTAGGCATTTCCAATTATAATGGCTCAATAACACTTGATCGTTAGCACGAATACGATTGCCATTTGAATTCGGGTAAACGACTAAGTGTAAATGAACGGAGTCGAGTACGCCCGTATTCGAGTAGTTTTCGTTTCGGTTACCCAACACCGTCTTTTAGGACGTAATCCAGTAGTAATATTGCTTCGGGTACCCGAATTCCAGTAATGTCTTTCGTGCACCAAAATACAGGCTAACGACCAAGTGTAATAGAGCCATAAAAGTAATAAATGCATAAACATGCGACTGTCATATAAGAAGGGATATTAAAACACGAAAGTCTGTTTATGTCTATGATAATAGGTTGACTCGAGTGTTTTAATACCTAAATCATATGCACTCTCATACTCACATATCTCACTCCTAGAAACAATTTGAAATTAAACAAAGTAGCTGGGTAAAAAAGAAGTATTTAGCAAAACTTTTCTGAAATCCCGAAAACAAAACACGATCAGCAGAAAATTGTATGGGAAGCGCAGGAAACTAAGTTTTAAATTTCTTCACATTTAGCCTTATTTCATGGCCTAATTAGATTAAATTAAAAAATAAAAGTGTACTATAATTATCAAAAAGTAATTTTACGATACTAGTATGGCAAATGGAAAGATAAGCCGTCATACTTTAATAAAAGAAGAAGAAGATACAGCTAGCAGTGCTGTTATGAGTTTTCTTTTTAATTTTATGTATGTGCTTTTATAAAGTACGTCTTTATAAAACCAATTTAAATTCGTAATTCAAATATTTCGACATGAGTGTAAATAGAACTCTTCACGTTTTTGGTAAAGTACTAATAATCGTTAACATCAATAGGGATGATGACTTACTTTTCTTTTATCACATAACCAAGACATTACAGAGATATTTAGATTTGAAATGTCACATGGCGTCACGTTATGGTACGATTTTTACGTAGAAGTGAATACAGGAGGCTTTATCTTTGCTATTATTTAGTTGATAGACAAAAGAAAAAATAAGTGTCCATTATTTTTTGATAATCTAACTACATAGACTATAGAGGACTAAATAGAATTTCGTTCCTTACCCCGTCATCATCCCTATTGATGCTTAATGGCGATTTTGGTTATCAATAGACAAACCAATTTAGTTCAACTTACGATGTAGATAAAGACGTCCAATACTGCAGCAGCATCTTTGAGATAAGCTTTGGGCGTGAAGAATAGACCATCAGCTAGAATCTTTAATGCTAGTTCGAGGCTCATGAATATAACGAACCCATACTCAGCAATCTGTAACCATATCATACATATTAAATCACATGATGTATTATCGTAAATAGGTTTAACAATCACATGTTATTGTTATTAGTGATAATACCTGGAGAACGAAGTTTTCCATTACCCGATATGTTGGCGTTTCAAACATCATTGACAAACAAGAGAGTGTTGTAACCATTATCATTACCCAATCCATATACGTTACCAAACCCAAGAAATTACTGGAAGAGTGCTCATTTTTAATTATAATAATAAAATATAACATAAAAAAACGATAATGGTTATAAAGCATGGTCTACAAGCTTAATCTATAAGTCGCACTAGAAGTGTGACCTCTAATAGCAAGTTCTTAAAGCAAAGCGAGCTTTGAAACCATTAAGATCTTTGCCCAAACACTGAAAGGACGAAAATTCTTTCTATTTGATGTTATGTTCGAAGGTATTACTTCTGGTACTGACCAAATTCATGTGACATTACAGACGTAAACCAATGGGGTGGTCGCATTTCGAATATTTTTTTCATTTTTTTTGGATACAAAGAAAGACAGTTTAAAGAGAGGTAGGGCATAGTGGATTTTCCGCTATTATTTGAGCGCCCGTCTGGAGAATTAATCTCCACTTTTACTTTTGGTGGTGTTGTGATTCTGTCTTGTGATTAAGGGTCCAGGGCTCCACGGGGTAGGGGATTGGGTCAGGATGAGCAACGGCGCGTGTGAATTTCTTAGATCGCAGTGTCTATTGGCTATGGTGGCCACAATATCAGGCGGGCCATATGCTTGTTTGCCATCCTTTTAACATGATAAAGCAACCATGTAAGAGTAACAACAGTTGGCAAAGACCTTTATGCCGACACTTAACTTGGCTATTCGTGTTTGCTATTTGTCATTTGACAGCAGGTGGTCCTTATCACACTCTATTCTATCTAGAATGAAAAGGACGGACTGTTCAAGTTTACAAATACAAAATACGAATTGCCAAGTGAAGTGCCAGTACTACAAAGAGCAAAAGCAACAATTTATAAAAGAAATGTTAATCGAGTGCATTATAACTTATTACTTTTTAGCGAAATCATTGTTCACATACTGGAAGCTCTTGTAGTGAACTTTCCTCTCGTTGCCAGTGACGGGATCCCTAAGGCGGGCGTCGTATCGTGCGTCTACTATGGCTCGACAGATCTTTCTGAAACGCGATTCTCGCGGTACTATTAGTAGAGGGGTGTCGAATAACGGGTGGTTTTCACGCAAATCTTCCTCGCGTTGATTCCTTTTAAAATATAATAAATTATAAATATGTTAGAAATATTAGCATACTGCTAGATGTTTAAATCTAAAGAAAAGTTTACTAGAAAAAAATCCACGCGGACCAGGCCCGTCCCGTCAGGTCCCGTCCGCTGCCTGGTCCGCGTGGATTTTTTTTTCTAGTAAACTTTTCTTTAGATTTAAACATCTAGCGGTTAAATGCTTAAAAAATAAATAAAATCATAAATATTAGCCTAGCCCAAAAGAAAGCACTGTAAAGCTTGTGTTATGGGATAAGGGATACTAGGGTAACGGATAGAATACATATACTGATAAATATGTAAGTATATTTATATACAATACATATAAACATCCATGAATTATGTACAAATGTTCGTATTTATCACACAAACATTTGCTCCACCAGGATTCAAACCCGGAAACCTCAAGGCGATATCTTGAAACCCGGCGTACAAACCACTTGGCTACGGAGCTCGTCATATGTTTGATATGTACTTTACATTCTGACAGGGTCTAAAGATTATTTAAATTTAATTGCGTCAAGTAATTTGTGAATTCTGAACTGTATGAAGACTATCAATCAATATCAATTTGGATCAGTTTTATTTTATAGCTATTAAAATAATGATAACTTTCACGACGGTATTTATTTCCACAATTTTTAAACATTATTTTCCAAATTTTTAACCAATTCTCCTAACGTCATGAACAAATAGTTCTCCAAAAAAATATTGAATGAACAAAAGTATAATATTATAGGTAAGTTTATATATATTGCCTATTTATTACAACTTTGCAAGATGCCATCAATCAAAGAGTCATTATGGTAGTTCACTAACAAACCTCAACATATAGTACTATTCAAATAAGAATAGGAAAGCCAATGACCTCCTTCTGTCAAATGTCGCTTGAACACTATGGGTTGCAAAAAAATCTTGGAACACTTTTTTAACAGCTAATTCTAGAATAAAACCAAACATTTGTAAATAAACAATAACAAAAATTGATAATTATTATTGGTTGATATTTTTGAAGTTATACTTCTTTAGGAGCGTTATGAAAAAATGATGAGAGTGAAATTATAAGATGCGCGCGCATCACTGTAACACAAAATTTTAACAGCATGAAGTTGGTCGCTTTAGCGACCAACTTCATGCGTTACTTTTGTTTTTACCGCACATTAAGAAAATCTACCAACAAAATAGAAATAGAATCTCTATTAAGTGGGTGCTAACGACTGCATTGTGAAGGCCTATCAAAAGTATTTATTAATCTGGAACAACGGAACCAAAGCGCGATTCAGGAGACTACAGCGCCATCTCTTGACCATTGGTGTAGTAGAACCAAAAACCACATCTTTATTTTTTGTAATAAAGTAACAGTTATAGGTATTCATATTTATAATATTTATCCACATGTTTCTAGTTTGTATATTCGGAATACGTGTTTGAGTTTCATACAAGTGCAAATCACATATGTTCTAATAAATTATATTCAGTAGAGATTTTAATTGAATATTTTGGTTATTTATTTATTTTTCAAATTAAAATTGAACTTTATTGACTGTGTCCTTTTCCAGACCTTTTATTAATTTATTGTAATAAATTATTTGCATGCAATTAAAAACTAATATTAAACGATGCCAAAGAAGGATAACTTCTCAAGCGCCTACATAAGTACACGCACCCATTTTTTTTTTATTTATTGACTTTTGGCTATGAATGGTTGATAACCTAAACCGTCAACCAAATGTTACTTTAAGCTGCGTCCATTTAAAACTTTCGTTTACATAAAGGATGCATGTTCGCATGTGACCTAGTAAAAGTGTAAGATTATTCATGACTACTCCGGCGGTAATGCAAAGATGAGCGGAATTGAAGAGCTAGATTCTGATAAATGTTTTTTCTCACATAGTTTTAATAAATAAATATTATTAAAAATCGGTTGTTGTTTTTTCTCAACCTTAGTAAATAAAGGACAATGGGCAAAACACACCCAGCTCCGCCAACAATGTAATTAGTATGAATCGATAGATCTATGAAAAACTAGCCTTTATAATGACACCGTAAAAAATATCCTGGTAGTCAAAAGATATGACACATGGGAATATTTAAGTAGCTAAATAAATTCATTTTGTAGTATCTTCATTTTATATTATTAAGTAATCATAATAATATGCCATATCGTACTATACAATCAGATATACGACAAAGCCTGGCGACCATTCTGCGCTTGCACTTACTGAGACACCCCAAAACGGTTGACGGGGTTTGAAGGACTTGCGGTTGTAAATAGTGGACTCGTCTTACTTCGTTGTGATTGTGCGCCCCCTGTCACTTGATTGATTTTTATCTACCACGCTTTGGACATTGGAACATGATTGTTTATGTTTTCTCCGAAGCGTGGACAAGTTTGTGTGATTTGTGGTCGCTCCGTTTTACATAGAAGAGAATTTACTATAACGAACAGAATGTCTGAAAAAACCCCAACCCATACGGGAATTATTGGATTTACTCTAGCGCGGCAGAATAACATGCACCTTGTGAAGTACTCCCATAATACCCTATGTAGGGTCGAACTAACTAACTAAATTAATTCCCTTGTTTTATTAATGTTCGTTCGTTATAGTACTTGTACCTATTTAACTTAAAATAACTAAAGACCTCCGGGATGGAATTTGATGCGCTTTGGCACAGATGATCATGACTATAATACCTTTCAAGCAAATGTAGTTAAGGCCGTTGCGGATGTGGGTGCAGCGAAAATAAATTTTTGCCCATTGTCCTCTATTAAAAAAATCTGATGTTTTTCTCACTAAATCTTAGTTAAAAGTTTTATTAAATAAAATATTTTTTTTGCTCACTACCTATTTGGTTTGAATTGACAGCTATGACGTCACAATATGGCGCCCAGTCGGTCCTATTATTAGTTGAATTGCATTACACTTCGGATATTTACCTTCTCATTTCCGCCTGCTGCCGTTTCGCCTGTAACAGTCTTATATCCAAATATGGCGGGCGAGCTCGCGACGAAGGCACCACTCGCGACGCAGCGCCTATGTCACCGTTCTCAAGCAAGTGCTCATACGTCTGTTTGAGTTTTATCGAACCGCTCCGTACCGATCGCCTTATAGAACGAGACCCAAACCTTAAAACGATAACATTCTTTTATACTTTTGAAAAATATTTATAAAGAAACTATAAATAAATATTTCTAACACACACCAATTAGCCTAGCCCTAAAGTAAGCACTATAAGGCTTGTGTTATGGAATGCTAGGGTAACGGATAGAATACATGTACTGAACATAATATATAAGTATGTTTATATAGAAATACATATTTAACATGTATTTCTATATAAATATACTTATATATGTACAGTATAATGTATTCTATCCGTTACCCTAGTATCCCATAACACAAGCCTTATAGTGCTTACTTTGGGGCTAGGCTAATTGGTGTGTGTGTTGGAAATATTTATATATTTATTTATTTATTTAATTATATTATATTATAATAAAAAAAATACTCACTTCTTTTGATCGACGCGTAGCTGTTTGGCACTAGATATTGTTCCCTGTGACTTCAAACCGGACTTGCCGCCAGTCGCAAGCATTGCAGAATCGCCTAACAAGGGTCGATGATTGTTAGAATCGCTAAAAATAAATGTCATTAATAGTTTGTTGTAATCAAATTTTTTTTTTACTATTATATAGAATGAATTTTTAATGCAAATAAATAAAGAAAAACAACGTAAACCTGAATAACAGCAGATTTTCACAAAAAAAATCAAACCAAACATTACCTGAAATCAAAAACAAAACAAAAATGTATAAAACCAAAATTAAACTTGACTCAAAGTCTAAGCAACATGTATGCGATTTTGAAGTTTTAAACGATTTTTACTATTGTAATATATTAATACTATACTATTATAGACATAATCGAATGGTTCCTTTTTTAAATCAGCCAATTATGTTTTTGAGAACAATAAAGAAGGTATACCAATATACTTTACTAAGAAAATAAATAAATATCAAAATAGCACATATTTTCTGTAAATGAGGCATGTTGCTTAAACTTTTTTCAATATAATTTCATCACATCGAATTGTACAATTGCTTGGCATACTCTATAATGGTTGAAACGACATGTCTGCGTAAAGCCGAGCTCGGTCTTTGCGAGGGCGGAGCAACGACGAGAGTTTTGACAAGGCATCGTTTTCGATAGGGGAATGCGATCTTGCCCACTCCGATGTATTCGAAGGCCCGCCGGGATAGGTCCACGGTCTGAGTGCCCACGGGCCCACCCCCTACTACTCCCACTTCCTCTTCGCCATCCTCGCATACAAACTGGCGCATGAAAGATTCGCGCACCTGTGCACAAGATTTATTACTTTACTTACGATGCATATGTAGCTGCTTAAGGGCGCTTGATAACGAGATGGTTTCTTCCCGGAGAGGTGACGGATAAGCTTGTTCAGAAGCACGGTTTAAAATGACTTTAACAAATCTTCATTGCTAGGAACTTACGGCGCGATTTTAACCCGTGTCCGCCGTGGCTGCGAGACCGCAACTCGTGTAGTGTCTCACGGGGTGACAGGGTGGCGGGGAGTTTTATTCGCTTGTGTTCTGTTTAATGTAAGCGAGTGTTCAAATACGATCGACTAATAGGGGCTGGCTGCGGCCGCAGGCCACCTCTGTCTGTATGACCAAAGGCGTTTTGAATTCAAAGTCTACAGGCTCGCAGCCGCGGCGGCTACGGGACCAACAGCTTTCCGGCTGCTGCGGGACCAACAGCTTTCCAGCTGCTGCGGGACCAACAGCTTTCCGGCTGCTGCGGGACCAACAGCTTTCCGGCTGCTGTGGGACCAACAGCTTTCCGGCTGCTGCGGGACCAACAGCTTTCCAGCTGCTGCGGGACCAACAGCTTTCCGGCTGCTGCGGCGGGCGCGGGAAAAAATTAAGCCGTGAGTTCTTAGCCATAGTATCCCATACCTAACTGACAACCGTAGGCATTACGGAAAACTGTCTCGTTAACAAGCACCCTAATTTATATGACTCAGTAAGATTGTTAATTATTTGATGTATTCCATTCTGGCAAGCAGTTTTAAAAATCGTGGCCGTTTTGTCTTATAACCTAACGACGACAAACTGGATTGCATAACCGATAAATGAATTTCAACTACATTGGATCAGTTTCGCATTTTCCGACATGGCAGCCATTTCTCTGGCTATTGTAAGTACCAATTTTCAACACTTAATTCAAGATAAAATAATTATACTACCACTTACTATCAGAAATACTGCCTGATGGTGGGTGTTAGTGGTCGATATTTAGCAATGATAAAAAAAATCGGCATTGTGTTTAGTTTCACACAGGATGTTCCAGGCCCATCATACATACTGTTGTATGGTACACAATTTTATGAATACAGCAAAAATAAGGGATCGCTAACACAACTTTAAATATCAAGCCTGAAGGTCATTAGCAGTTACCTTTGGAAGATTGAAATCTCCTGGCACTTTATGCAATTTCGTCATTTGCGGACTGTCTGGAAATTTTTCGAATATACGCAACCTAAATGGTAGACTTTCCTTTATCTCCGCACTTTGTTGGCGATATCGTAGTTGCTTCAGTTTCTTTATGTCTTCATCCAATTCCAAATTATCCAAGATAACTGCTACGAAAAGCGAGAGCACGATCTACAATACATAATTCAATATATGTAAATGGTACACAAAAATAAGAAATATTATTGCAAATTTCTTAATTTCTTACCAATGTCACAAATAAGTGGTATAATATAAAATATATGGCAACAAGAGGTGTGAGTGTTTGGCTTGTTCGCACCATTGTTTCGTCCATTACTTCAACCCATGCTTCTTGAGTTAATATTTGGAACATAGACATGAAGGCCTAAAATAGATTATAATGTAATCAATAAGAACCTCCTATGGCTTTTTTATGAAATTATAGAAAATAAAGTAGAGCATTTACCTCAGGGAAAGTTTCAAACTTGGTAAACTCACAAAGAAAGCAAAAAAGTTGCATTGAAATTGATGAGCTTATTATTAGCAAACACATGGTGAAAATTATTAGGCTGCCCAGTTTTTTACCAGGGCCGAAAATTTTATACACAAAACCTTCCAAAAGTGGTGATGCTTTTATTAACCTCACAATGCGCAGAACCTATAAAAGACAATGTTAAATTGGTCAGGCCAAGACTACTAATTTTTGTTATATTATTTAATTTTTAGTTGTCTCATTGATTACCTGGAAGTAGGTAAAAACTGACATATACAATTGTGGTATTATATGAATAGTGGTGCCTATTGCCAATAATAGTTCAAATTTATGGACAGAGTGCTTAAAGTATCCTTTTAAACCTAAACACCAGATTTTTATTAAAGCCTCCAAGTCCAAAAATATTGTGAATGCAATCTACAAAAGAAAAAAAACATCAATGATTACACTAAATCTATACTAATATTATAAAGCTGCAGAGTTTGTTTGTTTGTTTGAACGCGCTAATCTCTGGAACTACTGGTCCGATTTAAATGATTCTTTCAGTGTTGGGTAGTACATTTATCGAAGAAGGCTATAGGCTATATTTTTTTTTTCAACATTAGGGATCCGTAATAAAATTGCTATTTTGTACCACAAGGTGTAAAATCGAAAACCTATTATTGCGTGCGCTGCAAAAACTATTGATAATAGAACAAAATGATGTACTACGGGTTTGTAGATCCCATTAAGACCTACAAAAAAGTCCGCGAGAACATATATCTAGCTATCATGGTTTAATCACAATAACTGATTTTGTGTTCCAAATAATTATTAAATCGTCTGAAGAAAAAAAAACTACGTTAAATATGTATCGTAATATTAATCTTTATCTAAATTAAGCATTATGTTATCAAGAGTATTTATGTAGAAGTAAAATACACTTCTGGACACATCTATTGGCCCACTTTGTATTTTCAGTTTCGTTTGGTCCTAGCTAAAATTTTATATTAGGTCGAGCAAAAAGTTTTTATGCAGTTTTGAACCTGGCACATTCACAATTTCATTCAATAGTCTTTTTTTTAATTTCGAACACAGAATTTAAAGAAACAAAAGACAATTTGGAGCCTGTTTGTTGATATCAAACAATCGAATACTAAGAAAACTTGGTTTTATTGGTTTACTTGGATTTAATTCTTGAAAAAGTGATTGATATGTTTGGTTTTGCAACAAACATTACTTATTCTTAACATTAAGGTGAGGTTATATCAATAATCTATGAATACTTCACCTTAAGTCGCCGCCCAAGCTGTGGCACTTATTCAGGCCGGAAACAGCCAAAGAAACGTGAGTGCTCAACTTAATTTAAGTCGATCTGTGGTCCGAAATGTTTATCGGAGGTACCTAGAGACTGGCGGCTTTGTTCGTCGCCAAGGAAGGCCACGATCTCGGGTCACAACTGAAAGGCAGGATCGATTCATTGTGACGACCAGCTTGAGAAATCGTCACCTTACCTCCATTGAGATACAAAAACAAATTCGCAACTTCCACGGAGTATCTGTGAGCGCTCGAACTGTTCGGAGAAGGTTAAAAGAACGCGATATGGTACCACACAAGCCAGCTAATGGGCCCAAACTAACGCGAGCCCACCGAACAGCGCGCCTTCATTTCGCACGCAGTCATTTAAATTGGACACAGTAAGATTGGAGCCGTGTCTCTTTTCTGATGAGTCTAAAATTGTGTTACATGGCAATGATGGAAGGAAGAAGGTCTACCGACGTAAGGGAGAGCGTTTCGCACAATGCTGCTTTGAAGAGAGGGTTGCTTATGGCGGTGGCTCATGGACTATCTTAGAACCTCACGTGATACCATACGCGGACTATGTGGGTCCAAATTTCCTTTTTTTGCATGATAATGCAAGAGCCCATGCGGCCGGCATCGTCAGGGAATATCTACGGGATGTGAACATCACAGACTGGCCAGCCAGAAGCCCAGACATGAACCCCATTGAGCACATGTGGGACGAGCTAAAAAGACGTGTCAGGGCTCGTCAGCCAGTTGCCCAGACGATGCAAGAGTTGAAAACTGCCATAGAAGAGGAATGGGAGATGATCCCTCAAAATTTCATAGAGCGGTTGATAAACTCTATGCCTAATCGTATGAGAGCTGTGGTAGATGCCCATGGAGGCAACACGCGTTATTAAATTAAACCTTTATTTGATAAAACATGTTTTTTATTCAAAAATCAATTGCCTTTAACAAGGCGCATATCCGAATTGTTAGGCGTAGCTCCATGTCGTATGGTATTCTGAATTCAAATTTAAAACAATACGATCGAAAAAGATGGTAAAATGTATCAGGTTTAAAACTGCATCAACAGTTTTTGTTCAATCTAGCAATCATATTTCGGTAGGGGCCATCGAAACCTAAACTCTAAGGTGGGCCAATAGATGTGTCCAGAAGTGTACTTTTTGTTTCATCTCAATCGGATATTTCGTTTAAAAGTTATCACGTGTGTAAGATGTTAAGAGTTGGTACCTATTAATGAGTTATGGGCCATAGAGTTTTTTATCAACATAAAATCCTGTAATAATCTTTTTCGAAATATATTTGTTATAGAAACGAGGGTGAAACCGCAGGGCACGGCTAGTTAAAATATATAATTGTAACTATTAAAAATATATTAGTCAATATTTATACCTCTATGTAATAATACTTTTCATAAAAGAATTCTCTGGGGTTGTCATCATGCTTGAAATTCATTGTAGCCGTTATAATTCCATTCGCCAAAACAACTCCCATGACCAAAAGACGAAAGTAGGCTGAGCGCAACATTTTGTGAAATATTTCTGGGGCACTACCTATAACGATAAATTATAAATTAAATGTAAAGGACGTTGGGCAAAAACGTATGGACGCTGCACCCACGTCCGCCACGGCTTAAACTACATTTGTTTGAAAGGTATTATAGTCATGATCATCTGTGCCAAAGCGCATCAAATTCCATCCCGGGGGTCTTTAGTTATTTTAAGTTACAAAGGTACAAATAGTTACAAGTACTACAACGAATGAACATTAATGAAACAAGGGAATTATTTAGTTAGTTAGTTCGACCCTACCTAGGGGGCTCCGGTATTATGGGAATTCATTTCACAAGGTTCAAGGGTGCCCCCTTATGTTGTTCTGCCGTTCTAAAGTAAATCCAAGTCTCCGCATGTGTTAGGGTTTTTTCAAACATTGTGTTCGTTATTGTTAATTGTCTTATATGTAAAACGGAGCGACCACAAATCGCACAAACTTGTCCATGCTTCGTAGAAAACAGGATTCCAGTCCATCCATAGTAATTGATAAATCCGATAATCGTGTTCCAATGTCCAAAGCGTGTTAGATAAAAATCAATCAAGTGTCAGGGAGCGCACAATTACAACGAAGTAAGACGAGTCGACTATTTGCAACTGTATGTTCGTCAACCCCCGTAAACCGTTTTGAGGTGTCTCAGTATGTGCAAGCGCAGGATGGTCGGCAGGCTTTGTCGTATATCTGGTTGTATAGTACTAATAATATATATATACCAGGATATTTTTCTATGGTGTCATAATAAAAAAGGCTAGTTTTTCTTAGATCTATCCATTCATACTAATTACATTGTTGGCGGAGCTGGGTGTGTTTTGCCCATTGTCCTTTAACAAATACTCACTTTGAAATATTCAAGTACATATTTTAACTGAAACTTGCCTGAATGTTTATTTTCATCAATGGTAACAAGTTTCCAGCCATTGTCATCACCAGTAAAGAATTGGGTAGTGCTACCTTTAGTTATTGGATTCCTCACACCCCACATCTGTTGAAACTGAACCCTTATCTCATTGAATGTTTCGGTTATAACAGCTATGAAAACATTCTTCACCAACCATGCCAAGAAAAAGATCATTGTACTGAAATCAAGAATTCTTATTAATATTTTACCTGGCTATGGTTTCTCTTAGATGAAATTTCACCTCTAATGATAAATGTTCATGAACAGAGGCTAAATTCTTAGATCTAGTATACTTTCAAAAATCTACATAATAAAAGTGTAATTTAATTATCAATATCACATAAATTCAAAAGAGAGGCTGTATCAATAAACTTTACCTGAAATATAATGCTGATCTCCAAGTGGGTAAAGAATCAATAGCTCTATACATAATGAATACCCAACCTTCCTGAGAAGATGCCTGGTATACAGTAAATAAACTTGTAGCTGCAATATAAAATGAATAATATTATAAATATCTCCTTAGAAACATTACCATCAAGTATAAAAAGTGTAGTCTTACCAAACTCTTCAAACCCATTGAAACCCATTATGTACTTGGATAAGTTTAATTTCATGCATTTCATTCCTGCTGGGCATTGGTATCCAGAACCAGGGTCAGGAGAACAAAATGTGTCAGGAATAGCCAAGGAATTAATTGTAACTTCACTGTAAATAATTATTAACAGTTTTAAAACTAATACTAAATTCAATCAGCTGCTTTAAAAACTTTTATAAGTATTAAATACTCTATGCTCTATTGTAAACTTTTATCTAAAGAAACTATTTGTATACTACCATTTGTATCAGCTCAAAAGGTTGACAGCTGTTAATAGATTTTATATTACTGGTGTTTACAGAAGTTTTTTTTTATTAGAAAGTGAACATTATGAGTATGACAATAGTCATGGCTTTTGCTGTTGTTATTTTGAGTAATTCTAATTGTTTCACTAAATCTTTATACTCATAAATACTATTACAATATGAAGTTATCACACTAATTTCAGTTTAATGTTTACACTTACTTTAGATTTGTAGTATTTCTAACACAGTGATGAGTGAGTTCTCCAAAGAATTGAACCCCTAACAGACTGTACAGAGACATGAAGAATAGGAAGAAAAGGGTCACATTGTAAATCTGCTGGCTTGATCTCCTGCAGAACAAATGGTTTGTTTGAAAAATATTGATATTTATTATTTGCCTTGACTAAAATCACCGAATTAAGTGCATACTTATTAAATATTGTAGCTTTTGCATAACTTCCTAACAGAAACTTACTTGAATATTTGATTGATTCTAGACTTTGGCATAGAGAACTTTAAGAATACTCTTAAAAATCTGATCATAATCAGTGGTCTTGGGGCTCTTAATATACTTAGGTAGCTGTATCTTGGCACTATTGCAGTCAGCTCAAACATTTGCAGAAGAACAGATACCCAAAGGAAAAACACCATGGATGCATCAAATTGGCACCAATGATCTTTTAAATATGCTACATCGCCCTGTAGGATAGATAAAACAATATATAAAGTATATATATTTATGGAAACACAGGTATTACTAAGTATCTATTGGATTATAAACATACCTTGAGGATTCCCCTTATGTGCATCTTGGCAATCATTTCAGCAGTAAATAATAAAGTAACACAACAATCAACAGCAAAAGTAGCTGTTTGCAAGTATGTATATTTTTCAAATGATTTTGGTGTATTTAATGATACTGAAAGTAAACTTAAAAGAGCACAGGATCTTAATATTCTTCTAACCCATAACTGAAATTAAAAAACAAAAATTTAAAAATTTGTTTTTAGTTTATTCTTGGTTCGTTGCTATTGAATATTCAGTAAGTCAGTTACCTTGTTAACCCATTCTATGTCAGCACTTTCATTTAGGGATTCCTCTGGGCCATAGTCTGCTAATACTGGCTCTCCCTTCAGGCTCTGCTTCCGCCCCAACATCTTTATGCGTTTGAAGATAATTTTTGAAACTATAATATACAATCAATAAAATTAAAAATGTTGTTAATATAATCAGTGATAAAATTTGTTGGATATTCAATTGAATGCATTATCATAACTTTATATCATTTCCTTGATTGAATAGTCGAAATATAGAACTAGCACGTATAGACGTGTCCAAAAGAAATTTAAACAATTGATACAAAAAGATCAATACAACAACGATCAATCATCAAAAGTCAAAACATTGAATTTGACAATCATAGTTTTAAAATTCTCCTTCCTATAAATTATATTGGATTCTATTGTCATACAGGCTAAATGTTTTTATCTGTTATTTTTTTTATCTATTCATAACCACGAATATAGTTTTCATTCTGAATTTGGCTCGTTCATTATTGCTTATTTAATAAGAGTAAGTACATACTACGGTATTCACTTGACTGAGCGCCCCACTCCGTGGAGCCTTGGAAATCTAAGAAATCTTGGAATTTGGCACCTACATAAACATAAAAATTAATAGTTATTTGCAGTAACTTTCTGTAAGGGAAGAGAAGAAAGGTGACCTCTCCAGGCCACCACATTAAGCAAGCAAGCAGTCTGCTTATATCATATTTATTTAGGGTGATACACTCGTGGCGTATTAGCATACAGTAGAAAAAATATATATCGATGTATTATCATGGTATTCATATTAAATAAATAAAAAATATGGAATTAAATCTGTAAAGCCAAGGCTGTATGAATTTAGAATCCTTTAAACAAAAGAAAAGAATTAAATTTGTTGGATTTGGATTTTATCAGGGCGGGTGGTAGGCGTATTATTTTTAATCGTTCATAGTGGATATTGTAAAATAAAATTGGTGTGATTTTGTGTTACAACCGTCTGCACAACTGAAGAATTAGTGGAATCTTTAAAATATGAACTAATCATTTTTATTGTAGTGTTAACTACCTCACAGAAGCTTATTGAGAAAGCTGACTCGATACATTTCGTGCCAAACACTCCAAGAAACATTAGAATGCGTCACACCCATATTCTTATGTAAAAAAACTTAGAAAACTGTACACTAGGCTGTATTGGCATTGATCCCTTTTCTAAAAAGGGAGTACTTAAAAAAAACTCATAGATCTGTGGTTAGTTGCTGCCATAGTAACGCAAAAGTCAAAACATATCTCGTGGTTCGTAAACACAGAAAAAATGATGGAAAAACCTTAAAATTCCGTTAAATTCACATAAATGAAACGAGTTGGTTCAATAAACAATTGTTTGACGTAATTAAACAATTCATTTGGTGTTTAAAAAGTAGAGCTCTTGTATGAAAAATGTTTATCTATATGAGCAAAAAGGTATGTTTTGTAAATTATTTTAGGTTTGGGTACCTTGATAAATTTTCATTCAAATAAAATATGAATACCAGCGATTTTTCTTTTCAGATTGCTATACCCAAACAATCGAATGTCACTTGTATATCATGGAACCATTCATCTGGATTCATTGCTGTTGGTGGTGAAGATGGCATGCTAAAAGTTTTGAAATTGGAATCAGGTTTGTGTAATATTATTGTATGTTTTAAAGTAGATACATTATCTACATAATTTTAAATGTATAAAATGAATCGCTATTTCCCTTGGATGCTCCATAACTTGAGAATGACTTTACCAATTTCAGTAGAAAGTTCTTATGGAAAAAAATAAAGTTGGACAGAAAACTTACTTCTCTGACTACCTGACAATTGGCACTGCAATGGGAATTTGGATTTGTTTTACTATGTCTCAATCAGACAGGGTAACATCTGTCTTGTGTGTGCCCTAGTTGTTATATTATATTCAAAGGAATTGGAAACACAAGTGCCATAATCTTTAATAACATGCATTGCAGGACTGTTAAAAACTTTAGCATAATATCCCAGATTATAGAATGTAACATAACATGTATGACTTAATTTCAGTAGCATAGTATTTTTTTATAATGTATCAAATTATTCACTAACTTTCTGAGAGACTAAACACATTGTCATTCTCATATTCAATATTTAATAATATTTAAAGTAACTCTTTAAACTTTGTACTTGAATCTTACTTGTTTAATAGCTACTTGTTAAGTATAAAGGTTCATTCAGATAGGGCGGGACCTCAATGCGATGCTGGCGCAATATAAACAGTTGTAATGTATCAGTTATTATGAATTACGTCACACTGCACTGCACATTGGAAGCAATTATGTATATACTTTTGCTTGTGATTTGTTGTCATTTCATTTTGGTAAATTATTAGTTTTAACCAATTTGATTATTTGATTGCTGTATTCAAATTCTTAATAAATTTCTAAAGAATTTGGGCTTATATATTCAGGTACTTGAAATAGATTAAGCTAGTTTAAAGACAACTCTAAAAGAAAAATTAAAATCTTTTGATTATCTTGCATTGGCTGTATTGGCATTGCAATCTTAAACTATAAAATTAGGACATTTTGTAGTTGTAGTATGTAGATTATTTAGAATGTATCTTCTTTAAACGAATATTCTAAAGTTTAAAAATTATTTCACTACCTACAATTCATAAGTTTTCTGACCATTGTTTGGGGTGGAGGGTTCATAACCTGGGATACAGGAATTTTCCTAGTTCAGGTATCAGCCCACCACAGTCTGCTACATTGTAACATTGCTTCATGTAAGCCTTATTTAGATTGTGGTATGAGAAAACAGAAATTTATTATTATTATTATTATACTTATAACAGTACTTTTATATCAAACAAACCCACACTATTAACTGAGGTAAAACATTACAAAAGAGGTGAACAAGATGGGTTTTAATTTTAATATCATATTTATTTATTTGAATATGATTTGCAGGTGGAGGAGGTAATCTTTCTATGAATCTTAGTTTAGAGGGTCACACTGGACAGCTATGTGTAGCTATCTGGAATGAAGTATTTCAAAAATTAACTACAAGCGATGAACATGGTGTTATTATAGTCTGGATGCTGTATAAGGTAAGGACTCATTATGTAATAAGATTGTAAAATTCATACTGTTCATATTGACAATCTTTATATTGTATATCATATAATGAGTTCAGGTTTGGTAACTAATAAGTAATGTGTAGGTAATTCAAAATACATTTAGCACACTTTTATGACTAATGCGATATTATAAAGATTATTTTCTTTATAATATTGCATTTTTTTCATACCTTCTATTAAATAGTTTTCATAGATATCCCATTTATTGTTGCTAGGGATCATGGTATGAAGAAATGATTAACAACAGAAATAAGTCTACTGTAACAGGGATGGCATGGGGATCAGATGGCCAAAAAATCTGCATAGCATATGAAGATGGTAAGCACTACTATCAAAATTCTTTGAATGCACACTTAAGAAGTAAGTGGACTGCTGTCTAAGTACTTATTTTATATTGGTTGAGTATTATCATAATTTTATTGATACAGGTGCTGTTATAGTTGGTTCTGTTGATGGATCCAGGGTCTGGGGTAAAGACATTAAAGGGCCTGGCTTATCAGCTGTGCAATGGTCTCCAGACAATTCACTTTTGCTTTTTGCTTTGTCTAATGGAGAGTTGCATCTTTACGATGACCAGGGTAATTTTACTGTAAGTATTCTGTTCTGATAAACTACAGTTATTATTAATATGATTAAAACACATTATTTTTCACGTACAATTATCCATTTTAGGACTAAGTGCAGAAACTTTAACCCCTAACATAGAACTTAGATTATTGATTGATCATTACTATGGGTAGACTGCTTAACCTGCTGCCTGCACCTCTTACGGTCCCCGTTTTCGTCCTCCCCCACACCCTGTACCCCGCAGGCGAGGTCTCAGTTAAGCGATTTACCTATAATAGGTTTCGATGCTGAGATTTTGACCCAGATAAAAAGATATTATATTGCACCAAATATACCAAATTAATGAAATTGCCAACAGTGCAAGCAAGTATGTGTATAATACTCATAAAAAAGGCTTTGCTTAAATCATTACTAATCAAAAGCTGCAACTAGTGGTCAGTGGTTAATGATCACTCACACCCAGAGGTAATTAGTGGCCAATGGTCAGTGATATATGTAGTCACTAATGAATGGCCAGTGATAGCAATTAGTTTTCAATGATCACTTATAGCCAGATGTGATCAGTGGTGGTCAATGGTTAGTGATGGATATTAGCGATCAGTGATAAATGGGTAGTGGCCACAACTAGTGATCAGTGGTCCAGTGATGGCAACTTGTGGTCAATGATCTCGCACACAATGACCAGTAGTGGTCTGTCGTAAATTGTCGGTGGCTGAGCTGGTGATCAGCTATCAATAACCAGTGACAGCAACTAGTGTTCAATAATTAGTCATGCTCAGAGGTAATCAGTGACAGCCAGTAGTGGTAGGTATGTTGGTCAACAGTCATTGTGCGATTTAACTATATAAAGGAAAAGAATTCATAACTCAAGTATTTTCTTTGATAGTTGTGAGCGAGTTTTATAACCTTTGCCTAACCATAACTCCCTATGAGCACATATAGATTAGAAGTACTGTATAACAAATAGAATATAAAGATATTTAATTATCATTTTTAGTATTGTGTATGTGTTCATTTGATATATGATTTAGATGCCAGTGTCTGTCCAAGGTGTATCAGGGTCTATGGAGATTGTCTCAATGGACTGGTATTCAGGAAGCGCTCCACTCAACAGACCTATCCTTGCTATATGCTATAGAAATGGCATAATTATCTTGATGAAAAATTGTATAGAAGAAGGTAAATAAATTAATGTATCATGCTTGTATGATGCGAACAGGTATTTTCCATATCATGAAAACCCTATTTTTTATAATAGTCGAACATAAATGAAGTGATCAATCCTAAGATCTAACCATGGCATTTTCATGTAAAACCATAATCCAATCAACTCACTGGAATGCATGTAAAAATATAAGATTATTTATTTTATACTTGTGCAAATTTTTAGATAGTATTGTCGTAGAAACAAATATGACCTTGATAGACTCTCATTGGAATCATAATGGTACCGTGTTAGCTGCAGCTGGTTGCACCAATGAACAAGTGAATGTAGTCCAGTTCTTCAGTGCATATGGAGAGGTATTAACAAATTAAGAATATACTGATAATAATATTAATTAAATGAAAAGTGTTAGTTAAGATTGATGATGATTTGAATGATTGTTTGACAGCATATTCGCACATTGCGGGTACCTGGCGGCTCCCTAAGAGCTTTGTCATGGGAGAAGCGATCGCTACGATTGGCCATAGCAATAGATTCTTTTATTTATTTTGCAAATGTCAAACCGGACCACAAATACGCATTTTACGGGAACACACTTGCATTTGTTTCTGGCACTGAAACCATGACTTTTTGGGATACTGTCACTCATCAGGTATGTAAAACTTTTCCCTATAAAATTCCTCCTCTAAGTTTATCGTATTTTCTTTATTTTATTCATTTGTTGTTTCTTTTTCTATCTATACAGTATTGGATTAATCAAATCCCCGATGTGATCGACATGTGTGGTATTGGCGAGTACTGCGTTATAGCTACTCTGAGTACACTCATCATATCAAATCAGCAAGGAATACAATGTGATGGTAAGGCCTAAGTAATGGCTATTACAGTTATTAAAGTGTCATCATTATTATCCCATCATTATCCCAGCCTATTGTTTCCTCACTGCTGCAGTCTTAGTTATGGGTGAATAGAAGGAGTTCTAGTTATAACTCAACAAGCGGCCCATTGCAATTTAGTAGGTAGAAAACTGCAGATGTAGCCGGGGCCATCGGTTTAACGTGCCATTATACCGAGATTTTTGAAGTGAAAACTTCTTTAGCGGCGTTGTACACTCTGTTTTGTAATGGGTATAAAATGTTAAACTCGCGTCAGGACACGTAGCCAGATCGAAAATTCGTAAAACGAAAACAATAAAATTGGAAAGGTTGTTGATTTTCAATATATTGGACGAAACATAGTAATATTTCATTTTATCGTATTATAATAATAAGTCTCTAACTAGGACGTCCAGGTGGCAGCTTTATTACGAAGAAAATGCATTTTTTTACAATAGATGTCGCTAGGTGCGCTTAAATGTGATTTATGTAAGTTGATTTTTCTGAGAGATAAACTTTTTAATGTAATATAAATTATCATGTTTGTGTACGATAGCGCAATAAATAAATATTGTATTCTACCACATAAATGATAGTACTTTTATACTGATAACTAAAGAAATTCGTGCAAAATTATTCCCTTACCATTCCAAAAATGCACAACGTTAATATTCAAGTTTTCACTTCTGCCGGCACTCCCGGAGTGCAACCCGTCGTTTTTTTTTTACTTCCATCCCACCTGTAACCAATGCTTTCCTACCTTAAATTCGACTTTTACCATACATTCATCGTATCATATGACTGTTTAAGTTATTGCTTAACTTCCTAACTTAATCACTCCGCCATAGAGCCTGTGACAGAGTTTTGACGTGCTTAAATTTGTTTTTTTTACTAACTTCCACATTTTTATTTTCCAGCTAAAACAGCGTCTATTCCCGTCCTTTACGTAACGATTAATAGCAAAGCTGTTGTGGTTGCTGCTTCTAAAGAATCATTCATTGTGTGGAAATTTTCTACGCCTTCTAGACCAAGTAAGTCATGATGTCTGATTCTGGTGTTTCATATCAATCATACCTAGTTAATGATCAATGTAATTTTTTCCCATATTTCAGAAAGTACTGAACACCTGTTCCAAGCAGATGGTTCACCCTTGACTTCCTCTGATGGAGGATTTCAGGACGATACCATATGCTGCATCACCTGTTCTGACAGTCATTTATTGATTGGAAGAGATTCCGGAGTGATAGTGCTGTTCTCACTTGTCAATTTGAAGAAAATAACATCCATAAACATGAATTCAAAACCATACAAATTAGGATTGAATTCTAATTCGAGGTGATTATCGTAGGTATTAAAAAAATTCTAAGTGCGAATTGGAACATGAAGGGTTCCAATCATTGACAATATTATAAGTATTTGTTTCTTAGGTTTTCACGCACATCACTCATTAAATAAAACTAGTTTTTACGGGTTAATGCACGAAACTTTATTTATTTATTAACGTTTCGTAGCCTTTACAGGCTTCGTCGTCAGAATTAAACTTTTATTTAATTTGTCGAGCTACCTTCGAAAGAGTCTTACGAAAAAAGAAAGAATAAATAAATAAAGTTTCGTGCATTAACCCGTAAAAACTAGTTTTATTTAATATTATAAGTCCTGCAATAAAATATAAAATGAGAATACTCGTCCTATGTAGTTACCTATCTTATCGTACGTTTCATGAGGAACAGTCCGTTAACATAATAAATGGCTAACGGAGGCTGAGTATAGGGTTCCGGTTTAAGGGTATGGTTGGAACCCAAAAAAATCTTTGATAGATAATACATAATAGTATAAAAATACGAAAAGTCAAATCTTCATGGTAATTGTTTCAGCAAATTCTATGTGATCGACCAGCCAGGGTCTTTGTATCTCTTGGACACTGACATGGCGAACAATATAAGCGTAGGTCAGGCGTTACGTAAAGATGTTTGGAGCGCATTATGGGCTTCAGACAACCCACAGATGCTGGCGGTGGCTGAGAAGGCCAGACTTTACGTGCTCAGGGACAACGAACCCGAGGAACCTCTCACTATGCAAGGATACTTCTGTAGATTCAAAGTTAGTATTGTCGAATTGTATTGCAGCACTCTTTGTATTTTACACAAAACATAATGTAAACAATACTTTTATAATATGTTCTTGTTGTAACCGCTCCCACGGCCGTAGCTAGGGGGGGGGGGGGGGGGGGGCATTGTGGGGCATTTTTAATAATATGGCGAATCGGTAATTATTATTTATTTATAAGTCTGCAAAACACTATATGATCTAAATAGTAATTTTGGTAGTATCTATTTACTCGTATCACCCCACCAAGAAATAAATTATTACCTCACTCTCACTCAGACGTGGATCTCTACATCCAAATCTGGAAGTTCAACCATTTTGTTGGCTTGTTCTTCATCATTGAGGATTTAATAGTTCTTAGATACATGCTCATGCTCTGTCACAGAAATTATTTCTCTACGAATGGCTATTGAATGTACATCATTGACCTAGAGGTCAATGATATTGAGTGAGTAGTGATTGATTTAGGAGCCCGTGCTCCGAGCGCAGATCAATTATGATATTTTTGAATGAAAACTTCTTTAGCGGCGTAGTACACTTTTTTGTAATGGGTAAAAATGTTAAACTTGCGTCAGGACACGTGGCCGGATCGAAAACAATAAAATTGGAAAGGTTGTTGACTTTCATATATTGGACGAAACATAGAAATATTTTATTTTATCGTATTACAATAATAAGTCTCTAACTAGGACTTCCAGGTGGCAGCTTTATTGCGAAAAAAATGCATTTTTTTAACAATAGATGTCGCTAGGTGCGCTTAAATGTGATTCATGTAAGTTGATTTTTCTGGGAGATAAACTTTTTAATGTAATGTAAATTGTCATGTTTGTGTACGATAGCGCAATAAATAAATATTGTATTCTACCACATAAATGATAGTACTTTTATACTGATAATTAAAGTAATTCGTGCAAAATTATTCCCTAACCATTCCAAAAATATCAAAAATGCACAACGTTAATACTCAAGTTTTCACTTCTGCCGGCACTCCCGGAGTGCAATTCGTTGTTTTTTTTTACTTCTGCCCTACCTGTAACCAATGCTGCCCTACCTCAAATTCGACTCTAGCTACAGCCCTGCCCGCTCCATTTAAAATTGTGAACACATCACTCGAATTTGTCAACCATTACGTTTACCAGGGACAGACAGGCCAGTTAGGTAAGTTCAGATTTGAAAAACGAGAACTCTCGTCATCTCAAATTGGCAACGTCGCGTCGCGTTCGCGTCTAAATTGCCTATGTGTCTCAAGACAAAAGTCTTTGGCCAGTGATGACCTACGGAAGCGAAATGTGGTCGTTTATATCGTCGTCGGTCTCGTAAGAAGGCAAGGATGCACGGCGACCAATGGAGAGAGCGATGCTCCATATTTCCCAGCGTGAAAGAATGAGAAATGAGGAAATTCGCAGGAGATCTAGTAACCGTCATCGCTGGAAGGATGGCTCAGCTGAAGTGACTGTGGGCGGGACAGTCAGTGAAGTGGAACTGATAGCCATTGGGGCGGAAACGTTCTCGAATGGCGACCACACACCAGACGATACTCAGTGGACAAGGTCCCCACTGGTGGACCGTCTATCTAATGAAGCTCGTGGAAAGGCTGATGGATAAGAATGAAGCAAGTCCGATCGCTTTGCAGATCGTTGGGAGAGGGCCTATGCTCAGCAGTGGGTATCGTACGTCTGAGTTGAAGATGTGTGCGTACAAATTATTTCTCAACTTCTTTTTCCCTTGAATTTTTTCGCCTACAGCGAAATCATGTAAGTCTAATAATTAAATTAGAGCCACTGAACAAGTTGTTTTTGCAGTTATGTCTTTATCATAACTAATATATTGTTCCTTCGCGCCGGATATAGGTAAACCAGTGAGCTATTAATAAAGGCACATATTATAAAAGTTTTGTTTTCTATCAAACACATAAATTAAGTAGATTATACGAGCTTCTGTTCTTGATTAAACAAGTGTCATACGGTTCAAAAGTAATATGTATTTTGACATAAGTTGAACTTAAGAAGTTGTCTGAAGGGTTGGTAATGGTAGTCGCCCACAATTTTTCAAAACTCCATTAATGCTGAATGGTACGAATCAAAGTTATCTTTGAATATAAGTGGGATAGTACCATGTCATCCTTATTTATGCTCTACCTATATTTTTTTCGGCCCCAGGAGTTGGAGATAACGATGGCTTTGTTAGACAATATAAGTGACAAGTGTACGCCGCAGCATATTGTTAGAGTTGAGGTGAAGTCGCTGCGTGATACGCGTCAACTCATCGAGAAGGTTGGGCTGAAGGAAGCGGAAATCTTCATCAAGGACAATCCACACCCGCAGCTTTGGTATGTTAAACATCATTTTATCAACGTTTGACACAAAGTTGCTTGATAATTTTTATTTATACATACAACATATTTTGGTAACATTAATAACAAATCATTATACAACATTTACGATGCTAATGAAATTTTTAGAATACATAAATTGAATATGTCCTTATCCTAGCATCATATAAATTTTATTTACTTTTATGAATTAGCATTAAACTGCTTTTTATATCTAAAGATATGCATAATGTCAAAATTAAATCAATACCAATCAGTCTTATATTTATTAGCATATTCAATAAGATATCAAACAAAAATAAGACCTTGTCAAGTTACTACTCAAATGAAAGTTGTATTAAATAAAGACGTAAAAGTTTTATTTTTCTAAATATCTCCTGGCGAAATTTTGCTATCGTCGCAATCACAAAGGGTCACGTCCCTATTGAGATATCAGTGTCATCAGTGTTTCCACTTTTAAGGACTTCACCCTTTTTAGGGCGAAACACTTATTTTACAATACGACAGTAATTTTTTCTTTTTACGTATAAGGTAATTTGGGATATTACGAGTATTTTCTAGTTGGTTTGCTTGTTTTTGCTGATTTCATAATAAGCATATTTTTGTTTAATTAATACTGCGTTTTCTCCTATAATATAAGGGAAAAACTAACTTTAAAAGTTTACTTGATTCTTACTACTTAAAAATACATACGATTTCATAAATAATTTAAATTACTAAGTTTTTATGTGTTGCCAACTGATTAAACACGCCTTAAATCGAGGATTTTCGGAGATTAGTTAGGGGTATTTAGGGCAACATTAAAAAAATCTAGGGCAAAATCGAAACCTGATCGTGGAAACACTGGGTAGTATGTGGTTTGTTTATTTGACGCTAGATGGAGCAACTGCTAATTGGTATTAGTCGTAAAATTAATATACATACTAAAAATGAAGAAGTTATGAATAATTTTGTTAAAAACACGAGAAAAATAAATTTCAGTTCTTCCACTTTACTGCTTAAAGTACAGTCAATCTGTCGAAAAAAAATCGTTTCAGTGAAAAAAAAACCTAAAGGCTAAGTCTTGTTTTTTCTGTTGCCAAATGATGTCAGTAAGCCACCTTGGCGATGGGCATGCTCAACTCGTAGGCGTTTTTTGAAAAACTTAAAAAAAACCATCAAAAAGTTTTTGAAACGCATTTTTCTTGTTTTGTATGCATTTTAGAAACTTTTTTTTCGACCATAGTTGTAGAGGGCGTTGAGTACTACAGTTTATGTCATTGTTGCAATCTCGTACAACAAAAAATGCGCATTGTAGGTGGCGCTAAAGTCTCAAAAAGAGTGTTTTTTCACTTTTTCACCCTGAAAATATCATTTTAATGGAAAACTTTAAATGGAAAAGTTGTTCCGTACATAATTACCAACAACTTTTGTATAAACAATTTTATACAAAAGTTGTTGGTAATTTATATAATTAATTAGAAAAGTTGAATCCAAAGAACTACATCGAAATCGTGATCAAAACAGCTTCACGCAAACTCGGAGTCCTGAACAAAGTGCGACGTTTTTTCACGCCCGATCAACTGTGCTTGTTGTACAAAACACAAGTGCGGTCCTGCGTGGAATATTGCTCGCACCTCTGGGATGGCTCCGCCAAGTACTTGTTCGATGCTTTGGATAGGTTACAGCGGCGCGCGATCCACATCATAGGCGATGAGGAGGTGACTAAACACCTTGAGCCTCTTCAATTACGCCGTGACGTGGCGTCACTAAGCGCGTTCTATCGTCTGTACCACGACGAGTGTTCTGAGGAGTTATTCTTCTCTCTCTCTCTCTTATCCCACCTTCTCCTTTCCTTCAGAGGACCAAGCGCGCTGGCCTACGTTGTCACCGTCTAACTGTGGCCACAATTCCAACGCGTTCAAAGAAATTTGGTGACTCATTTCTTTGTCGCACTATCCGTAAATGGAATGCTCTGCCCGCTCACGTGTTCCCTCCCTCTTACAACCTGGGATCCTTTAAAAGAGGCGCAACATGCAGGCCGGCAGGGTGAGGATGGCTGGTGTGGCAGGTAGAATTGCTGTATCAGCTATCTTCACGTCTGGACTTCACCTTCACTTAACATCAGGTGGGGTGGAGTCATTTGTCGGACCTATATATATAAAAAAACTAAGTTTTTCACAATGACATGCAATACTTCATCATGTACATGGTACAACAAAGAAAAACATATTTTCTCATTTATGCAATTATTTTTTATGCTAAATTATAAAAGGTGCATATAGAAATTTCTAAAAATGAATTATCGGGCAGGGGATCACAGGATATAGATAGGTAATTGTTTTGATGTCGAAAATATGTCAGCGCCTTTGCGCTGCCTGAGAAGCTTCGAGAGAGTGACGTCAGGCGACATTGTATACGGCAGGTCCTCTGTATTTGCTCCATGGCTGCGTTAGCCACATATTTTTTTAATGTAACGATAAAAAGGTAGTCACTTTCTATTTGGTTTATAGGTTATTGCTTGCAGAGGCGGCTTTAAAGAATTTCGAATCTGGGAATGCTTTAGAGACCGCAGAAGCGGCATTTATTCGGAGAAATGATTACGCTGGCATCCGATTTGTGTCGCGACTTAATGCATTACATTCGAATGCACTCAAGAAAGCAGAGATACACGCTTACTTCAAAGATTTCGATGCTGCTGAAAAAATATATCACAATGAGGATAGGCGGTGAGTACCTTAAGTTCATCTGTCATCAGTCGAGTTAATAAAATGTGAGTAGTTTTGTACTTAGTCCGTAGTCATATTGAGATAAAACGGGCACACGAAATTTATTTTCCAAGACCGATTTCTGTTTATTCAAATTAATTTAATTATTTGACGTAGCGTAGTCAGGAAGGTAATTTGAAATCTGGCGCCCAGGCCACCTAAGTTTTTTTTTTATCTAATCAAAACATGTTAGCAAGACAAAATATGGCTGAACTAAATATAATTTGTATGTTTGTACATAACAAATAACCTTTATTCGCAAAAAATATGTTTTGAATTTGAATAGGTCAGTAACGAATGCCCTTGTATGGCTTCAGCCGCTCCTTGCCGCAGCCTGCCGTCCCGGGCTATGGCCCTAGAGTAAAAGTAAATACGCCCCCGAGCATAAATTGTATAGGAGCTTATATCTTGCTGAATGCTTAAAATCTCAACCTAGTAATAAAAGTAAACATCAATAAAGACATTTATTTTGTTTTGGCTATTTGCGATTTTTTTTTATAAACGTAAATATTTTCTTAAAGGCACTTGTTACTATTTGTAGTGATCTTGCTATAGCACTGCGCAAGCGCCTGGGCCACTGGTTCCGAGTCGTGGAGCTATTGAAGATGTCTGCGAGCTCCACGGATGCCCAGGTGAAACAGATTTACAGCAACATCGGCGATTACTACATCGATCGCCAGAATTGGTATATAGTTTTTTTGGTTACTTAAATGTTCAGATTATCTATCCACTACTTTGTGAAGCAGTGGGGCAAATTGTTAATATGATAGCGTCTTTTTTTTCCTTCCTAGTGCGGGTATCAGTTTTTGGTTTCGTTCGTCGTTCCTTTTAACGGCTTGACTTAATGTTAATGACAAAACAAATTGTAACCATTAATATTTTTAAATGATTTCAGAAAATCTTGATAAAATAGGTCGAATTTTTTCAACCGACTTCAAAAAGGAAGAGGTGCTCAATTCGACTGTATGTTTCTTTTTTGTTGGTCACGCTATTTCACCGTCATTTTAGGGCCCGTTGTAATTTTTTTTTCTTATAACAATACAATACAACAAACAAATTGAATATGATTTTCTGATTTTTGAGAAAATCAACAAAAACGTGTTGATAGATCTGAGTGTTACCATTTTTGCTGCTTGGGTTGGCATGGCACCGACGCCAAATGTTATTTCGACTTTAAATGTACTTTATTTAAGTAAAGAATATGTATTTTTTTACTTTTAATGGTTTTGTTTTTATGAAGTCGGTTTTTAATTTGTTAAAAATGTTTCTTTTCTTCTAACTTTGTCAAATCATAATTTTAGGACCGGAGCGTTAGAGTATTATACAATGTCCAATAACGTTGAAGGTTTGAAGAAATGTTACATGGCACTAGAGGATAATGAATCACTATCAAAATTATTCACCGGCACTACAAAACCGACCAAGGTAAGCGATATCAGGCATTGTTTTAATTAGTTTAAAGGCTAGGCGCATATGTACGGTTTCTCAGAATGCACGTCCTTACAAACAAAATGTCCAACGAGGCGCATACTATTCTTATTTTTCAGAATGGAAATAACCTAAAGTTCGGTTCGGAAACTAACTAATAAAAAAAAACGAAACGTTTGCGGTAGAAGCAGAACTCCAAATCTAAATTCCTGATCAGGAAAACGTACATATGCGCTCAGCGTTAAGGTTGGCAATTACACATATTGTTGTAGATTCTGGCATGATTTTCTAAACTTAAAGCTAATTTTAACATTAGTCTCTCATTTTAATTCTGTATAGCGAATGACAAGGATACACTGTTGTCAAATTTAATTTTAGGTTTAAAGAATCGACACCAATTTTTTTCCAGTTTTATAAATATTTATTTATTTTAAGGATGGACCCGTTAAACAGAGCATACGCGACGAAATAAGCGACACGTTCAATCAAAGACCGTCTATTCAGGGAATAATTCAGTTGAAGGAGTCTGGTAGATTGTTACAAGCTGCGGCGCTGGCCTTTCAAGTACGTACCTACAATGTTTATATACCCTCATGGTACAATTAGCTTAATATCTTATCAAAATTTAAGGAACATGTTTAGTTGTTATGAATCTTATATCATGTGATATAAAGTTTAGGATCATTTTGAGATTGTTTTCTATATTGAATAACTTGGCCTGCGACTACGACTGTCTCAATATGGCAATTAGGTCAAATTAGGACAAACCGATGTAATATTCTTATTAATACCGTCAATAATAAGAATATTACAGTCAAGCCATTTTAATAGGTAACATATGACGTCGGTCAGTTTTATCTACATAGTGAGGTGCCCTACTTAAAAACATTGATTAAAGTGAATGAATCGATACGGACTTGAAATATATGTGAATTTTAAAAATCATCAGGCGAATCCCTGTCTTTTTTTGAATTTTTCTTTCGTAAATTTAAGGAGCAAAATAAGACAAGTATTAACATAGTATTATTTATATAGACATAATTTAAAAAAAATGCATTTATTCAGTTGAACTATCGTAACTGTTATTAGTATTATCATCTTCATCACTGCTGTCAGCATTCAGAGATATTATTAATTCATTTTCAATAATATTGTCTATTCTCACATCTCGTTCAAAATCTTGTAAAATTATTTTCTTTGTTTTTTTCTACGACTTTTCTCCAGTCTTTTGTAGTGACTTCTTCACACGCAATTTGTAGCAGAGTCACCATTTTAGCAGTACTGAAGGGTGGTTCAGTATTGTTCCGCGCTGCATGACCCTTTATTTGTGCCCAAATAAGCTCGCTGGCGTTATACTGGCAATGGTAGGGTGGCAATCGAATAACTTCGTGTCCATTCTCTAGGGCTAGTTCATCGATTACATAGCGGAGCTTGGACGGCTTAGCTGCTTTTACTACATTTAACAACTCAACTTTCAATAAAGTTTGACTTGCATCCACACCATTGCTTACCAGCCACGAGACAATTTCTTGCTTTTTACTTGCTTTATTTGGTGGTTTATCAACTTGTACAGAATGATACGGTGCATTGTCCATTATTATTTTCCATGGGTTTTCTAAGCTGACTAGCAACTTCTCAAACCACTCTTTAAAAACATTAAAGTTCATTTTCTCATGGAAATCACTTGTAGTTTTAGAGGCGAATGCGAGGAGGCTGTTTGGAATAAAACCTTGAGAAGCTGACCCCGCGTGACATATAATTTTCAAACATTAAAGTTCATTTTCTCATGGAAATCACTTGTAGTTTTAGAGGCGAATGCGAGGAGGCTGTTTGGAATAAAACCTTGAGAAGCTGACCCCGCGTGACATATAATAAGTCGGGCTCCTTTTCCCGATGGAACTTTTGAGGTGGAGGTAGCTGTATCATCGGTCCATTTCCACGAAACCGTATGGTTCGCATTGAACAATGTTTCGTCAATAAACACGACATTGTCCCAATCTGCAATTTTATTTACCTTACGTAAGAATGTTACTCTCTTTAAAATAATATCGTAGCGTTCTAGCAGGATATTCCGCTTGTCAGATTTTTTAAATCTAAAGCCAATCCATTTCAAAACCTTTGATAGAGAAGATTTACGATTTGAGAACTCAATAGCGCTTTCCGTGTTGGATATTCTTTTCTCGAGTAATATCCATAAATGTGGTTGCGAATTGCAGCAGCATCAAAATTATCAATGCCAACAATTTTCTTGTCCCTCTTTCTTTTTTTCGGTGTACGTAAAGTATTATCTTCTGAGCCTGATGGTCCGTATGTCTCTTTCAGAATTTGAGTTACTGTTCTCATTTCTATTCCAAATGCTTCGGCAACGCGTTCTCTCGCTTGTGTTAAACCATCTTTAACTAATTCACGTTCAAAATAATTGTACAATTTCACCTAGTTCGCGAGATTGACTGTTTAGCGTTTTCCCCCGTTTCGACATGGTAAGACTAATGGTGTTCTTGTTTACTTATTGTCCAATTTGTAGCCAGGTAAACGTAGTCAGTAAGATCACTCTGATAAAATAGACGGTTCAGAAGAAAATAACAGAGAGTACACTAAAAACGCACAGTCACTTCGCACAACGACAAAAGACTGCGTCATGTAATGGCGACATGACATGGCGTCATCGACAGGCACTGGTTTTGCCAGCAACATCCCACCTAAATTGTACCTAACATCAATGATTTTTCTATTTACTCGTATATATTTTTGGTATTTTTATAAGAAGTTAGTTAAAATAATAATAAATATAATTATGTCTAATTATAATCACAACGTAGTTATTCATTTATAGTGAATCATTGCATTCGATTCAACTTATCAGCTTTCGATTTTTAGAGCAACACACACAACAGTGCTTAAAAAGAAAAAGGGTTAACTGATGCAACATTGTAGCGACGTTCAGTTCTTTAGATCAGAAATTCTTTCTTATGTTTAGAATAGTTTATTACTGAATGCAAATCGTTAAATTACTCGTATCGGTCATTATTACAATAAATATGTACCTAATCTTTATTGAAAAGAGTTTAGCAATTCTGCGGTTCTTATTATGTGCCCGCCGTTACAAGGTTACGTTTGTTGAATTATGATGAATTGTCAAATGTATAACTATTATAATGGCCTGACTATAGTAATTTTAATATATGGGTAGTTATTACATTATTTAATGGATTCCATCTGAATTCTTCTTGCGTCTGAAGTATTTGGTCCCCTTATCTGTCTCACGAATCAATGTAAACAGAGATATTACGATTATCTACACACAGTCACACAGCGATATTGTTTTGTGTCTCACAAATATTTCATTTCAGTTGGCGAATATCGAGGCATCAAAGAAATCATCTCCTTTACGTATCAAGAAATTATACATACTTGCAGGACATTTGTATACTCAAAATTCTGTAGGTGAGAAAGTCATGTACCCTTCAAAACATTGAAACCTGCCTCAATTGCAAAAGATACGCAAATGCGAAACTCTCCTCGCTAAGCAAGAATAATACTTGTATAGGTTCTCTTTGTTCCTATATTAATTTGAACTAAGCTTAAACTTGAGCTTCTTGTCTGTTCAGCAAAGCAAATGTATGTTACATTTGTGCTAAACTGACATAACTTTAATAATGAAAAAAAAAAACTCGCTTTTTTATGGTTCCGAAAAATTATTTGTCAGTTTCATCTACAGTTTGGAAATTCTCGACAATTTCTAAGACCCGAGACACGGGACAGCCCACGATTAAAGTCCCAAGACATGCCGAGACTTCGAGGCTTTTAAAATAAAATTTGAATTTGTAGTAAAACGTACTATAAAAAAATATATTAATAAAATCTACTTTTATTAAAATTATTAAAATGAAATTCTCATAATTTACACGTTAATTTCAGTCTAAATAATTGGTGTGTTTATGTAAAACAATCACATTCAGATTCACTTTGAATTAAGCAATAATCTTAGTAATAATATAATTTCACAAAAGCGCCTCAACAGAAAAGCCACACCACGCTCACTTCATTAATAAAATTGACGACTGGCTGAGCTGAATCAGACACAATCATAATCCAAACATCACAGAACAACAAATGTGGTGGGCGCAGAAAATGCATTTATACTTAGTAGTGACGTAGTCAACCAAGTAATTATTCATTAAACTAACAGACGGCGCTAGACTCTTTCAATGGTTAGAAAATAAAAATGATTAAAATACAATTTTCAGATATAAAGTCTCGGGACTTCGAGACACCTGACATTCCGGGACCCAAAGCTTAGTTTTCGTAACAACTTACAAAGTTCATTAACAACATCGGCATTTCAGTATCTGTTATTTAAATACAGCATATGGGACATCATATACCAAAATATCACATTCTTAAGTTTTTGCGATAGACGCCGTAACAAAAATAGTATAAAAAAATATATTTATATCCTACTCAAAGAGCTCTAGACAATAATGCGTCACATGCTGCGAAAAAAATTCCATGAGGCCACACCCCCATGAAAAATATTTTTTTTTTGAATTTTTAACTAAATATTCGGCTTTGGGCATTCTACAAAAATATCAAAATTTCAGGACTATAACTCATTCCGTTAGCGATCTAGAGACCCGTGACTTACGGACAGACAGACAGAGAGGTAGACTACAGAGTGACAATAGGGTTCCGTTTTTACCCTTTGGGCACGGAACTCTAAAAATGAATTGCTTATATTAACAAGGAGGTTTGTGTTGATATGACATTAAATTTCGAGGTAATGGGTTCCAAATTACTAGAGGTGCAAAAGTAACGAAAAAAAGCGTACCCGTATGTATTCGTTACTTTAACAATTAGTACTCGTTACTATAGTATCGTTACGTTACTCGTTACTTCTCATAAAAAAATCGGTTTTACTATTTTGAAATTTTTAACCGTGACCTTATGTTATATCACAATAACATCGCAATCCATTATTCATCAATTAAAATGATAAAGCAACAAATAGGTGTCGAAAATTATTGTATTGATAATAATACATAAATAGCATTCTAACGATAAATCAACATAAAAATAGTTTTGCTTAGAATGAAATTAAACATAACGAAAGAAAGAACTACAACAAAAATCTTTTGTTCTCAAAATAAAATTATAAAAAAAATAAAAATATTTTAAACGAAATCTATCAAGTTGGCTTTTTCGATAAGCTTCTGTGAGGTAGTCAAGACGACAATAAAGTTCTTGGCTCAGTTTTCCATTAGTTGTGGTTGAGTAGCGAGTTAAGATTTTTGTCACGGAAAGTATTAATTATTAGGAACACACACACGAAATCTTTTTATTCGAAAACGAATAGAACTCGAGAAAAAAAATATTGAAAATTAATATTTTTGTAGGTTAAAGTCAATTTTGACAGCCATTTTTTCATGCAGAATTAACATGATTCTCGTTGTCTATGTAAAAAATATGTTGATTATGTTGGTACTATTGTCAAAATGACATATGTCCCGCCGTTTTGTGTTTGTTTTGAGAAATGTCAGTCAGTCTGTGTACGTCGGTAAAAAGTATATTTACTATTATTTACTTGGTAAATAAGCAATAGTATGGGCTCCACACTTAGAAAAAAAGGTAAATGTGGCTTTACAACAATCTTTAATTCAGAACCGACTTGGTCAACCCCGACACGCCGTGGTCTTGGTCTGCCCTACCCCTAGAGTGTTTTTAGAGCCCGGAGGCGCGTAGGGAGAGCAGCTCCCGCCTGCTGTGACAAAGCCGCAAGCATCGTGCGACCCGTCGTAGCGCCTGAGGCTGGTCGCCGCCGGAGGTGGCGACCAACAAGCCGAAGGTGTGAAGGAGAGTGATGCTTGTGACTTTGTCACGCAAAGGCGGCGGGGCTGTTATTCCCGCAGCGCCGGAGATAAGGCAGAACTACTGGTTCTAACTTCCCTAGTCCTTGCATCCTAAAAAAATTATGAATTTTTAGGTTAGGTTAATTAAAAAAAAACATGCAATTCCGACTAAAATCTTTAGTAGGGGGGAGGAGGGGGTCTCCCCATCAAAACTACCCCGAAATTCCACCACAACTAATGGAATTTAGTACCGTAACACAAAATAACACCAATTTTATTTCACAATAGTATAATTAAAATAAGACGCCAACCGCACTCGATGAAATCCGGCCAAAAACGTTTTTAAATTCTCCGAATATGCTCGCGCATGCTTAAAACATACGATCAGCAAATGTTTCTATACACACATCAACTGTACTTGCGTAAACTGAAACATATAGATAGTCATACTACGAAAAATGCGAATAACGAAATTTATTTGTGTGTAACGTTTCGTTACTCGGTACTAGATGGCGTACCCGTTACTCAGTACCGAATACATACGGTTTGCTACAGCTCTACAAATTACATGATCTGACTATAAAGTATAGGATGATTTTGTTCGTGATGAACCTAGCATCTCTAGGGTTATTAATATCGTCGCAGATGGGGCGAAAAGTCGCGAGGCAGTACGAAGTTACCGTCTCGGCAGCGCGCAACACTGGCTGTGTGTGGCGAGCGGGCGCGCGCACAGCACTCCGCCTCGTCCCGACGCTGCCCTTCGCGCCGCCGCCCGCCTGCGCGCCGCTCTGCCCGCCTTGCCCCCCCAACAACACTTGCAGGTAGGGGCTCGGTGACGCGCGCAACACTGACTGCGTGTAGCGAGCGGGCACGCGCACATCTTGCCGCCCCCCGCCCTGCCCCCCAACAACACGTGCAGGTAGGGGCTCGGTGACGCGCGCAACACTGACTGCGTGTAGCGAGCGGGCGCGCGCACATCTTGCCACCCCTCGCCCTGCCCCCCAACAACATTTGTAGGTGCAGGTAGGGGCTCGGTGATGCGCGCAGCACTGATTGTGTGTAGCGAGAGGGCGCGCGCGCACAGCACGCCGCCCCATAGATTACCAATAGTCGTAAAGATACAAAATTTCTATGAACACAAGCTGTGCATTCCCGATAGCGCCAGAGTATGTCGAAAACATTTAGAGGGTAACATCTGGCACGAATTATCTCAACACTGCAATGTCACCCATGACTTTAATGCAGCGCAATTCAGTGATATTAGTGACATGATGCTACAAGCTGTACAGACTACCGGCGTAACCCATGTACCTCTTGTACCTAGGTTACGCCGGCATGAGGGATTTGTAGGCCCTGCCTTATTTTTAAATGGCGTCATTGATTACGACGTTAATTATATAAATGTTTGTTTTTATAATTTGTTATTGTGGTTTAATTTGTCAAAAAAGCATTTGTTAACGTTAACATTAACATTTTTGTCAATAATTAACATTTATTAACATTAATTTTGAATCTTATGTTACCATGTTTAATTAGGAATAACTCAGAACGGCCTAAGAATTTGAATTTGGCGCTATAGTAACTTTTTTCTGCTCAAACGATGTAACAGACATAGCTATTGGAAAGTGGGACCAGATTTCATATAAACTCTGATATCATTCTTTACTTTAGAGTTGGACAGAAAACTCATCGCGAGGATTTTAGTGCGAAAAACGCATGGTCACACATCAAATTCATCGATGTCAAATAATATGATTATTATATATAATTGACTTTATTATTCAAATTACCCTAACCTTGTACTGTTTCTGTTTTTGCAGGCGTGGTGTACTATTGCGGCGATAGCTATTCAAGCGAGAGCATTCGATTTATGTTCAAAAGCGTTTATCAAACTAGAAGCACTGGATGTAAGTATCTAATAACATGACAGAAATTCTTAATGGAGAGGAGTGATATTAATAGGTGAGTATGTATTTATACCTAATCTGTTTTTTTTGCAGGCAGATCGTTTCGAAGCTCTTGCAATAGAATGCTTTACAAGGTACAAACCTAAAGACGTTAAGAGCAACAAAATAGACTGCCCAAATTGTCACATGGGAATGCCAGAATGGTAAGGATTAGTTAGACTAAGGTACTAGGCTTTGCAATTACATAAATAAATGTTTCACTCAAATACTAGTGACCCACACCACAGATTTCCACTAGGGCTTTCAGTCTAGGACCATTTTTGTGTCACGGGAAAAAACGATACTCGTCACGGTCTCGAAAATCCTGGGAAAAACCAGACTTTCTAGACTTAATTTTGACTCTAATAATACATCCATAGTAGGAAACAGTCAATAAAAATGCAGTCCTAAAAATTGTTCGTAACAAAAAAATATGCTAATTATAAAGTCACAAAATTTTTATCATTCCTTTATAATCAAATAAGCAACTAAGAATAAAATAAACATTCTACATTAAAGTCATGCAGTATTTACTTGTAAATTAAAATTTTAAGCAAACAAAACAAATACAGAAAATACTAAGTTTGTGAAAATAGTCGTAACGTCACTATGTAGGTATTTAAAAAAATATTTAGTAAGTAATTTGTGTGTAATCATTATGGAATTGGGATCTTCAAATTTGTACAATAGTATTAAATAAGAATCGAGCAAGAAACGAAACACACGTTATTTCTAATTTTGTTTGGTAGGTATATATGCACAAATAAAAATTGCATGGTCGCTTATTATACATTGTGTATGCCATATTGTATATTGCCATATGGATTGCCATATTAACAGAAGTGACTTAAGAATAAAAAAAATGATCTCGGTTAAGCAGTATTCTCAAAATGATTAAAAAATTTGTTCTCGGTTAAGTAGTATTCTCAAAATGATTAAAAATTGTTTTTTTTAATGCCTTGTGTGATTCAATACGTGGGTCCAAGAAGATATCTAATCGCCACCCTCGCCGCTGTCAATTTGTTTACTGAGGGAATCCGTATCCCTGGACACACACTTGTTATTTTCAGAACAATCATAATAATTGACTCATAGAATTATAATGCTTTCTCAATTAATTTTAAGCAAGCGAAAGAGTTTCTGTTTTACTATTTTGAAAGTTATTTAGAAATTCAAACTACCATTATAATTTTATCTAAAAGATTATCTTTTTCATTGAAATCAAAGCTCAAATTTCAAATATCCACATTAATAGTGTTTACTTGTTATAAGAAACCCTTCAGTGGAATTACGCATTCAATAAATAAGAAAACTTGCCTATTTTGTAATTTTTAAGCGAATCAGTATCCTGCAAATGGATCAGGGCTCAAATTGCTCGATAGTACATACCGAAAACCGCAGGACGTATCGTTTACTTTTGGAGAAATCTACAGTTCGTATACTCTGCCTACAATCTCGTGCGGTTACCGGCGATGAGAGTGTTCACTGAAGTGAAGATTCCGAACCAGGATAAAAACCTGTACCTGGTTAAAATCTCCACACTCAGGCTGAGAAAAAACATCTCAGCCTGAGTACACAGCTGATCAGCGAGAGACACTGGAAAGGTTTAAAATCTCGAAGTCTTACTATACACAAGGCAGCGGGACCTACATACCTACGTTTGATACAGGTCTTCACTGTGTCCAAAATAATATTGAATCGATATAGATAATACACTGACCAATATGCTACCGCAGCCCTGACGGCCGTGTCGAATTGCCTCTAGCCTTAGGTTGCAAGGCAGCGCTATCACTTCGCATTGTTGGTCAGTGCAGTGGTCAGTGGATAATGGTCAGTGCATTCGTCCGGAATAGCGAAGGGTGTTGGTTCGAGTCCCATCTGCTGCCTGGTCCGCGTGGAATTTTTTCTAGTAAACTTTTCATTAGATTTAAACATCTAGCAGTTAAATGCTTAAAAAATAAAGACAACTATAATTGCTATTTCTTCTTTCAAATGTTTAATACCTGTAAAAGTATTCATTTGACATTGTGGGTTACCTACAATGCGAAGAGATGGAGCTGCCTTACAGCCAAAGGCTAAAGGAAATTCGACATGGCCGTCAGGGCCGCGGTAGCATAATTGTCAGTGCATTCGCACGGATAGCGAAGGGTGCGGGTTCGAGTCCCGTCTGCTGCCTGGTCCGCGTGGATTTTTTTCTAGTTATATTTTCTTTAGATTTAAACATCTAGCAGTTAAATGCATTGCAATGCAAAATTAAAACATAATCGAAACAACAACAACAGTGGAGATTGACAGTAGTCTGACAGTTAATGCCGATACATCGCTTTATGTGGTCATGCTAGAGGAGCAGGTATGTAAGAATCTTATAATATTATGTCCTTACATATGAAATTGGCGTTTTGTACGAGAGGAATATAAAGTCATTTTTTTTTTGTAAAATATAATTGATTGAAAGTATGCACCGTTGTTATCTATGCACTTTTGCCATCTCATAGGTAGTTCATTGATCCCTTTACTGAAAATCCCATGGGGACGACAAACAATAAACTCTTTGAAGGCGGTTTAGGAACCGCATCGGAGTTGAATTTTTTTCCTTGTAAAAGGTTGTCCAAATTCCGGAAAAAATGGTAATCTGTTGAAGCAAGGTTCGGGCCGTACCTACGGTGGATGTCGCAGACATTCCAATTGTAGCCCATCTAACTTAGTGATACGGATTCCCTTAGTAACTTAGTGTGGTCTTGCGTTGTCGTGAAACAGCAGTGGCCTAGAGCGATTGACCAATTTCGGTTGTTTAGCAGCTAGTTCTTCCTTCATGGTTTGCAGTTGTTTGCAGTCGATATCTGCCGTGATCGCCTGGCCAGATTTTAGAAAGCTGTAGTGAACGACAACTTTTTCTGAGTAAATTTTTGTCTAGGGCAGGATTTGGCTGGGTCTCCAGGGTTCAGTCATTGCGACGAACGCTTCCGATTATCGTACAGTATCCACTTTTCATCACAAGTAATGATTCGATTTAAAATCCCTTCATTATTCTGTCAGTTGAGCAAAGTAACACAGCAGATGACGCGTGTTTGCAAGTTCGATTCACCCAATTCATGAGGTACCCATCGTTCATCGTTTTTTTACTTTCCCGATTTGCTTCAAGTGGATTAGTACAGTTTTGTCACTTACCCCGAAGCCTGCAGGTATCTCTAAAGTGCTTTGTGATGGATCCGCTTCCACAATAGCCTTTAATTCTTCATTTTACACTTTGGTCTCCGGGGTTGGTTCTGAAGGTCGAAATTTCCAGAACGAAAACGTTGAAACCAAAATCGTACCGTGCTTTCATTTGCGGCACCAGCGCTGTACACATCATTAATCCTTCGAGCTGTTTCTGCAGCACTGGTGCCACGGAAGAACTCGTATAAGTACCGATATTTCATGTTCTCCATAGTGCGGTAATAAGCGACGCCAAAGAAAAAGTAAAGAGGAAAAAAAAAACAAATGAATGACTGTTTTCAAAACTCAAATGTACCAGTTAAATGAATTTATAAATTTGAATTTGGTATTCTTAACCTAAGAGGAGATATTTCAGATCTAAGTGGTCAGTACGACAAAACGCTAATTTCATGTGTAAGGACCTAATTTATATTACCGGAATATCATTATATCAACAGAGAAGATTATAAAGCGCTGTATAAGAAACTAAGAAGAGTTAAGAAATTTAAACAACGCCCTGTAATTATATATTTAATATTTTTATTTTATTATTCAGTAAAAGTCTCGATATTCCCAGGACTTTGTTGGTTAGTCTCGAGTCTCACATTTTACTTCCATCAGGATGGAGGCTTGCCCCGGGTGCGGCAGTCAATTCCCCGGCTGCGCGGTGTCTAGTCGCGCGCTGACAACGCCGCACACCGTGTGGGCGTGCGCCACGTGCGGGGCGCGCGCCCAGCAACACGAGATGGTGCTGCGACACTGCTGCCCCATGTGCCACGTGCAGTTGGACTAGACGACATGTAGACATTTTACCTCAAGGCGCGCGCTGACAACGCCACTCGCCGTGTGTGGCGTGCGATTTTGTGCTAAAGAAAGAGCTCGTTTTCGTAAACAGAGCACCTTTAGTTCATATGTTTTGTATTTGTAGTGTCACTATTTACACGTTTTGTTATACACTACTTTTGGCGTCTTCGACAATTTTGAATACGCAAACGTCGAATAATAACATGTCAAGTGCCAGTTTTTATTCTGCGAGTGCGACAATTAGAAAAACCAACGTGAAAAAGCGCTCGTGAGAAAGATGCCTTATTAGTGATTATATCCGTCCAATTTTAATCTTATAAGTATTAAAACTGTTTAAAAATTGTAGTTAAATGTTTTATTTTAAATATTATTAGGTTTGTTTGACTTCAAAACCACCATTTCATCTATTCTTGGTACTATATACTGGTAAGTATGGTATACTGGTAGGAGTAGCCAAGTCATTACTCATACCCAGAAAATTTTGGACTTCAGTCTCCCCTGACGGCCTCAGGGAGACATCAAGATTTCCATTGTACTGGTGTCTTCCCGACCTACGAAAGACGGCACTGCCAGTAACTATAGGAATCTTGATTACTTTTACTCGCACCTCTGGTATGGCTCCGCCAAGTACTTGCTCGATGCTTTGGATAGGTTACAGCGGTGCGCGATCCGCATAATAGGCGATGAGGGGGTGACTAAACACCTCGAGCCTCTTCAATTACGCCGTGACGTGGCGTCACTAAGCGCTTCAGAGGACCACGCGCGCTGGCCTACGTTGTCACCGTCTAACTGTGGCCACAATTGCAACGCGTACAAGAAAATTGGTGACTCCTTTTTTTGTCGCACTATCCGTAAATGGAATGCTCTGCCCGCTCACCTGTTCCAACCTTACAACCTGGGATCCTTTAAAATAGACGTGAAGAAACAACATGCAGGCCAGCGGGGTGAGGATGGCTGGTATGGCAGGTAGAACTGCTGTATCAGCTATCTTCGCGTCTAGACTTCACCTTCACTTAACATCAGGTGGGGTGGAGTCATTTGTCGGACCTATCTATAAGAATAATAATTTAACGAGTATGTGTGTGATAACATACTTATATATTAACATTATACATATATGCTGTCACACACAGTTCTGTCATGCCACTAGCCACATGAAATGAAGATAACTAATTATTTATTGAATGCCATTATGCCAACCCTACTAGAAACCTTTCTGCCCACCCAAAATTCAAGTGTTCAAAACTGACTACCAATTTCAGAATTTTAGTAAAACTGGAACAACGATATTAAATACTCTAGATACACCAACACAAACAAAATCGTGTCCGAAACCTGTCCAAAAGGTACATTGGACGATCCACGGAGCTCCGTAAGAATATGGCGTAGTCGAAAACAATATAAAGCATTATTTTTAACATTGAAAGTCACCTTTAATGCATACTGTATAAGGTCTTAATTAAAACGCATGCGTCTAAGTTATAACAGTTCGACCACTCGCCGTGGTACAGACGATATAACACGCTTGGTGACGCTACGTCACGGCGTAATTGAAGAGGCGCGAGGTGTTTAGTCACCTCCTCATCGCCTATGAAGATCGCGCGCCGCTGTAACCTATCCACAACATCGAGCAAGTACTTGGCGGAGCCATCCCAGAAAGATCAACAGCAAGAGAGTGGGGGGCAGGACGGAGCCCTGAGGAACGCCGGCATTCACTGACATGAACCACGAACCACTACCATCCGTAAGGACACGAATTCTACGCTAATGCAGGAAATCAGCTACCCAGGAACAGAACTGGGCCGGCAGACCGTATGCCGGAAGCTTGGGGAGAAGCTTTTGTGCTAGACCCTGTCGAACGCCTTGGCAATGTCAAGGCTGATAGCCAACGACTCGCCCCGCTCGTCGATAGCCTCAGCCCAGATATGAGTCAAGTACTCTAGAAGATCACCCGTCGATCGTTTCGATCTAAAACCATATTGACAATCATAAATCAGGGAGTGATCCTCTAGAAAGCGAGTCAGATGGTTGTTAAGGACCTTTTCTAGGACTTCACATAATACTGGGCTGAAGCTAGTTACAAATAAAACAATCATTTCATAATCTAATATTTATTTAAGAGGGGTCTCACAAACAAGTCTTTACTTGGTTACTGAATTAATCATCATCTGACTAGATATACATAATGTTAAATTTATACAATAGGCAATGATTATTTTAGTATCTACAAAATTATAAAATGTGAAATGTTATGCCTATGTTAGTATCTGTAAGATGATGAAAAATAATGTGGTTTGTACTGTAAAACATAGGACAAGTGTAGATTATTCTAGTAAATGTTGTTCGGTGTATTCTTGAGAACAGTAGGATGTGATTAAATGCAACTTGTGACAACATAATTACTATAATATAAACTAAAATTTTGTTTAACAACCTAGAATCCTTAAACCATGGTTCCCACATTTATTAACAGTTCCACATATACTTTTTAAATAACACCTAAACTTATTATTGTACAAAATTATTAGGCATATCTATTTTTGAAAATTGCAAAGTATTATCAATAATTTGAAACAATTCTGGTGGCTGTGGGATTCTTCCTGTTTCCAATTTTGACCACAATGGTATATTATTTAATGATATTTCAAATGCTCCAGATGACACCAGTTGGCCTTCAATCATATTAGCTAAAAAGAACATCATCATGCACGCATACAGCTTATTCTCCAAACACCAACTCCACCATGCTGGTTGAGGTTTGTTCAACCAAGCAAAAATGTTGACCCCACTGAGTATGCACATAATCAATATCATTTTACCAAAGCCCTGAAACAATGAGTAGCATTTATTATTTTCATAATCAACCTATTGATGTCCCCACTGCTGGGGCAGAGGCCTTCCTTATGGATGGAATAGGGAGATTGGGCCATGACCCACCACGCGGGCCCAGTGCGGATTGGCGGGTGCTAACGACTGCACATGCAGCCGGGATCAACGGCTTAACGTGCCTTCCGAAGCACGGAGGAGTTCGTGATAGTAAATTTTTGTTCACCCATCCAATGACCGACCCCTGCGAAAGTTGCTTAACTTCAACGATCGCAGTCGAACAAGCTAGCCACTTGCGCCATCGAGCTCCTCTATTATCTTGCCTGTTAATTATTTATATACCATTATAACCAATTTTGTAATAAAGTTGAGAAATGAAATCTTTTATTTTGTTTTGAAACTTTCACCCTATATAAAACCACAGCCAGTATGACTTCTAACTCAGATTCTGCATTAAAAAATTATATTCTACTAAGACCTTTTAGATAAGACTGAAACAGCTCTTGAATACTTTTTTTAATTCTACAGAAGAGACTTGAATAATCTATATATATATATACATTAGCGATGGGCGTTGAATTAACCAACGGTTTAAATAGACAGTCTACGTTCAATCGACGCTTCGACGGTCTACAGTTAATTCGTTAACTAGTTGAATTCATAGACGGCTAAACTGAGAGTCCACAGCGTTCATATCTACTGACAAAGCGTCGACGTCGAAGCGTGACAAAGTCCATACGTTCGTTCGTTCGTAATGTATATTATACATATATATAAAAATCAATTGCTGTTCGTTAGTCTCGCTAAAACTCGAGAACGGCTGAACGGATTTGTCTTATCTTGGTCTTGAAATGTTCGTGGAGGTCTAGGGAAGGTTTAAAAGGTGAAAAAAATAATTATATAAAGATACTAGCTGTTACCCGCGACTTCGTCCGCGTGGAATAGTATCTTTGGGTAACATTTTTAATAAGAATCATCAGTAGGTATATTTAAAAAAAATAAGAAATATTTGTTTACAGTAGGTATAAGGTACCTATGTATTCCACTGAGTGGCAGAAAGTACCTAGGAAAATTTATTGGTCCCTTATGTCCAAGAGACACTTACAGGGGCCAGCGTCACATTGTGTAATAAGATATTTTAAAATGACCTAATTTAAAATATTTTTGTAGACAACGTTTGCTGTTTTGTTATTATTTTTTAAAATGTGGAGATTGTTGGGACTCGACACTCGCGAGCAGGCAACGTACAGTTGGCCATGCGAAAAACAGTTTTTCTCTAAATTGACACCTGCTACTTTAAGTTGCCCTTGCGCTTTGTTAATGGTCATTGCGAAGGCTGGTTTGAGGGGAAACTCGATTCTTTTAAACTGAAAAGGTAAATCTGTAGGGATCATGGGTATGCCGGGAATTAAAACTTCTTCATCTTTAGCTACTCCTGTCATTATAATTGCTCTAATAATATTGCGTCCTAGCTGCGTAATTTGCAATCGAGTCCCGTTGCATAGTCTCGGCGCTTCGAGATTTCTCATTAACAAAACTGGAACTCCAATTTTCAGTCTCAGCTTATGTGACGGCACTCCTGAGAGCTCTAAAGAGTTTAGAAACTCTGTAGGATAAGATGTCACCTGTTCACTGTACATGACAATATCTACTGACAAATATTCGACAACATCGCCTTGCACATGTGACATCATTTGTTCATTGATCTGTCCCACGATTTCATTGGTCGGTGCTAATATTGCCCTTTCACACAGCCACTCTCTATTCCTCATGCTATATTCCAAACCGGGATAGACGTTGTTTTTAAGATCTTCCAAGTTGTGGACAGCATTACAAAATTCTTGATTTAATGTAATCGTTAGCGTCCGTAGTCATTCGACCTTCACCGATTTTCAATAGAGCAGCTGCATATTGCCCCGATTGCGTATCATTATGTAGTTGTACTCGCATGTTTTTAGTGAGACATTTTTTTTACATGCACCCATAATGTAGACGCCTTCAAACATGCATTTATCTCATCTGCTGGAGTGCCTCTGGTAATGACAGGTAGTGTCTGTCGAAAATCACCAGCAAGCAGCACTACCATCTCACCCATTAAACTCTGGTTGCTTCTGATATCTTTCGAGCGCATCGATCGCTTTTTTATGCGACATTGTGCACTCATCCCACACCAACAGCTTGCATTGCTGTAGCATTCGGCCACGATCGCTGTTTTTTGTAATATTACAAACTGGAATTTCCTCATGAGGTAAATTTAATGGGAGTTTAAGTACTGAATGTGCCGTGCGGCCTCCATCGAGCAGCGTCGCCGCAATTCCAGAGGAAGCTACGGCAACAGCTATTCCTTTGTCTTTGCGGATTTGGGCTAAAAGTAAATTTAATAGAAAAGTTTTTCCAGTGCCTCCTGGCGCATCTAAGAAAAACAATCCGCCCTCACCATTATCGATTCTATGCACAACAATATCAAAGACTAATTTTTGTTCCGTGTTCAATCGAGGAACAGACTCTGATATTTGTTGCTGTAAAGAAGAGACATTGTAGTCCAGTTCTCTTATTAAATCACTACTGACTTCTCCGATTCTTTGTGGCCAGTTCATTCCAAAATCTGATAATGTCTTCCCAGATATAGCCATCACTTGGTCTTCAATCTTCGGTCGACCGACGGTAGCGGCGGCGATGCAGAGTATTCGTGAAAAGGAACTTTAACTTCAAAAGCGAAATTTTTTTTTAACTTGATACACCCAAAACTTTTAAATATCATGTTCCTATGTTCAGTGGTTAAGATTTTGTATACAAAAATTTTGGCTTCGTAGTTCCCAAACCCATACAAATTTTCACCCCCCTTTTAACCCCTTACAACCCCCTTTTCGCAATAAAAAGTAGCCTATGTCCTTTCTCAGGGTCTAGACCATCTGTGTACCAAATTTCAATCAAATCCGTTCAGTAGTTTTGGCGTGAAAGTGTAACAGACAGACAGACAGACAGAGTTACTTTCGCATTTATAATATTAGTCCGGATTCAACACCAAAGCGAAGCGAGGGCGGGCCGCTAGTCAGTTATAAAAATTATATATAAACTAGCTGACCCAGCGAACTTCGTGCCGCCATAAAAAAATAGGGGTTGGTGGAAGAAGGGCGAAAATTTTGGGTTATATTTATCTTTGTATGACGTATCATAAAAAAAATGGGTGCGTGTACTTATGTAGGCGCGTGAGAAGTTATCCTTCTTTGGCATCGTTTAAAATTAGTTTTTAATTGCATGCAAATAATTAATTACAATTAATTAATAAGAAGTCTGGAAAAGGACACAGTCAATAAAGTTCAGTTTTAATTTGAAAAAATAAATAAATAATCACAATATTCAATTAAAATCGCTACTGAATATAATTTATTAGAACATTTTGCACTTGTATGAAACTCAAACACGTATTCCGAATATACAAACTAGAAACATGTGGATAAATATTATGAATATGAATACCTATACCTGTTACTTTATTACAAAAAATAAAGATGTGGTTTTTGGTTCTACTACACCAATGGTCAAGAGATGGCGCTGTAGTCTCCTGAATCGCGCTTTGGTTCCGTTGTTCCAGATTAATAAATACTTTTGATAGGCCTTCACAATGCAGTCGTTAGCACCCACTAAATAGAGATTCTATTTCTATTTTGTTGGTAGATTTTCTTAATGTGCGGTAAACACAAAAGTAACAGCATGAACTTCATGCTGTTAATATTTTGTGTTACAGTGATGCGCGCGCATCTTAAAATTTCACTCTCATCATTTTTTCATAACGCGCCTAAAGAAGTATAACTTCAAAAATTTAAAAAAAAAAATATCTAACATTGAAAAAAAAATTAGGGGTGGATTATCCTTAACATTTAGGGGGATGAAAAATAGATGTTGTCCGATTCGCAGACCTACTGAATATGCATATAAAATTTCACGAAAATCGGTCGAGCCGTTTCCGAGAATTTTATATATTAGATGGATAAGTGATACGGATACTTATTAAAGTTGTTTTTTTTACAATACAGTCAAATCCGTATATTAAACAGCGACATTGTTTAGAACAACATACCGTTTACATTGACCAAAATCATAGAGGCCCTGGCTGAATTCTATTAGACCGTCTTATAAGTAACACAGCATTTTGCGACACTGATTATTACGACATATCTGTTTAAGCGATTAGGGTATATGTAATTATCAGAAACAAAATACACGTGTATGCAGTATAATCGAAGTCCAAAGCCCGCTTTTTCACCGGCTGCGCAATGCAAGAGCGCGAAGCGCGACGCGGTGACAGGGTATAGTGTTTAACAGTCTATATATGTATGTTTGTTCCTTTGTGGCACACTAGAGACCAAACACCTGGACCCGATTTTGATGATTAATACATCAATCGATTCGTCTCAATCACGGGAGTGGTACTAAAGATATGATAGTAATCAAAATTTAATATGGACAAAATAAGGCGCCATAATTATTGTGACGAAGTAAAAAAAATAAGTTGACAAAATAAGTCGAGTCTATAAGTCGAGATCACTGTCTAGATAATCGAAAATCATGTTTAGGTTTCTAACACCATTTTTCATTTTATTTGATTTTTGAGGATCTACAACGATTTAAAGTTGCATATTAGGGACTTACGCTTTGAATTTCAATCTTACGTTTGTATAGTGGATCTTTGTTACTCTTTCACCCAAAAAATACTGAATGGATTTCAATGCAACTTAACAACAATATAGCTCATACATAATAATAACACATAGATTATAATTTTTGTAGCTTTTGAGTGAATAGGCCAAAATATAACAATAAGTGTCACGCAAGGCGGAAAAAACCTCCCATCTGCGAGCCATTTCAGCCTGCACTGCAAAAACAGTAAAAGTTACATGAATATAATGTATCGTGAAAATGTATCTCTTAAATAGTTGTACAAAAAACTCTGCGACAGAATATATCTATTTTTAATGTGTAAGCCATTATCGCTAATACAGTGAACAGTGAATCAAAAATAAAATACTATTTGATATTCATTTCCAAAATGCACATTTTGAATTAAAAAAAAAAGGTTTGTATTAAAATAAATACTTTTATCGCTTTTGAAATTGACATTTCACATTTCGACAAATATTTAAAAATTTACAACGATGACAAAGTGATAGCGCGGCGTACTCTGCAGGAATACTACGAGAAGAAATTTAATTTAGGTGTTTATAAACGTGGATAAAACCTAGACGAAAAAGAAAAAAATGGGCTACTCGCAGTATCTGATCCTATACGAAGTAATTACAATAAAACTCTGATACAGTTCCTTGTTATTAAATGATGAAAAATAAATTATCATAATAGGTATTTATGATTATTGAATATTAATAAAAAACTCACGAATTATACTGTTTTTTTTAACGATATTATTTAATGTTCCAAAAGGGTTCACTTAATATAATGACAAATAACCCATTTTTCGCTAGTAGTTACATACTTATTGGAATCCTTGTATTTATTAATCAGCTCTCGATAATATTGGTTTGGTAATTATAAACGATGATTCTGCAAAATTCAAAGTAAATAATATAGATTTTTATGGGTAAATCACCACTTTCATCACCCTACGCCTATAAGTATTGCAATGTTGTAGCTAAGAACCAAGTTCCCATCTACTTCTATAGGGGAATTCATTATAATCGATTTAGCTATTAGGGCACGGAAGCGCAACAAACAAACTCACTTTCGTATAATATTATATTATACTTACTAGTGATCCACCCGGGCAACATACGGGCGAAATTTATTTTATCGGGATAAATATAGCCTATTAGTCGCGTCAATAAAGACATAACAGGCAAAACTTGGAAACCCGGTGGAACAGCTTCGATTTTGATATTTTTTTTTAACAATTTGGTTTTTTTATATTATTCAAAATCGGAAACCTTTGGGAGGGGGGAAATATTTTTTTTATTGTTTAAACAATATTTATGACATTTTTATAAAAAAATCAGTGTTATCGCTTTTTTTTTGAAAAAAATATTTTTATGTTAATGTTAGTATAAAAAATAGTAGTATTCGCTATGTGCACGACAGTAGCGCCACCTACAATGCGCAACTTTCCGGGATTATGCCAAATAATAACATCAGTTTGTATTTTATTGATTTCTAGTAAATATAGTAAGGTAAAGATAAATAAAAATTATTATATATTGTATAATAATTTAAATAATGTCGGATTTCAATTCGGAATTCAGTACAGTCAATAATAACTCTTGTATTGATGTAATCTGGACTGAAACACTGGGGCATTGGTGCTTGTACGGTGGCTCTATTCGGCCAAAAGATTAAATTAGCAGTTGAACAAGCTAGATTTTGTAAGATCGAATGAAATATACGTGAGATTGTGGTTTTTTTGTACACCAAATAACACACTCAATGCTGAAAATGTCAAGCCAGTTTTCATTTTTATCAAAAAAATCAGAAGTCGGTCTTTAGTGGAAACTGTACATTTTCTCATAGTTAATCTTGTTAATAAAAACTCAAAATTGCTAAATGACACACCAGAAGGATCTAGGAGTTCTTGATCATTTGTTATTGATGAAATACCAACAAATTCTTGACTTTTTGTTTCGGTAGATTGATCCTCATACGATTTTTTGTCAGTGCCACAGCTTTTATCTTTCTTTCTTGAATTATTTGTCATTAAAATTCTTGATGTTGGATCACAGTGATCACTGTAAATTAATCTAATACAAATAAAAGTTGTATCTCTTAA